AAGAGCTGTAATTGGCTATTGTATCTCTTCAACCAGAATCAAGGGAAAAGAAAAGCCCAGCTTAGGAATTGCAGTTCTGATATTCATACTTACTAGTACATTTTTAAAAATATTGTTATATCTAGATACTGCTTTTGCTGTATTTGTATTTTAATTATAAAATGCTATAAATCCATTCTGGGAGAAAGTTTGTCACAATAATGAATGAATTAAAAAAGAAATCTAGGCCGGGCGCGGTGGCTCACGCCTGTAATCCTAGCACTCTGGGAGGCCGAGGCGGGCGGATTGCTCAAGGTCAGGAGTTCAAAACCAGCCTGAGCAAGAGCGAGACCCCGTCTCTACCATAAAAAAAATAGAAAGAAATTAATTGGCCAACTAATATATATAATATAAAAATCAGCCGGGCATGGTGGCTCGTGCCTGTAGTCCCAGCTACTCAGGAGGCTGAGGCAGGAGGATGGCTTGAGCCCAGGAGTCTGATTTGGGAAACCACTATGATTTGGGAGACCCAGGCTCCCACTATCTTGTTGCTCTTCCCTCCCCTGGAGCAGAGGTCTGCAAACTTTTTCTGTCAGGAACTGGACAGTAAATATTTTAGGCTGTGTCTGTCACAATTCTATCCTTGCAGGTAAATGAATGAGGAGGTGTCTGTTCTAATACAATTTTATTCACAAAACATGCCACAGGCCCCAGTCTGCCTAACCCTGCCCTACAGCAATGCTCCTTAAACTTTGATGTGCACACAAATGACCTTTGGATCTTGCTGAAACAAAAATTCTGGTGCGGTAAATCTGCATTTCTAACAAGCCCAGGGTGAAGTCAGTGCAGTGGGGCTGACCATGCTGAGTAGCAAGGCCCTGGAGGACCACTGAGCATTCCTGCCAGTGGGGAGCGGAAAAGCAAAGAAAAAGGTATAGCCCTTCCTTAGAGCTCACCTATCACTTTTGCTCCCGTGCAACGCTTAGGGGCAGGGGAGTTGGAAAAACGCAGTCTGCACCTGGGCAGTATGCACCCAGATAAAGTTGGGGAGGCCGATTACTTCTCCCCTCCCCCCCCCCCAGATACACCGCGGCACTCCAGCTCCCTTGGGCTAAGCGTTCCTGCGCAGTCCCAGCACGTGGCGCCCGCGGACGACGCCTCTCCCAGGGCGCAGCCTCTTCTCTCCCGGGCACAGACGCGCCCAGCAACCCCCCACCACCCCAACCCCCACCCCCCGCTTCACGCCCCGTCCAGCTGCTGCCCTGCGTGGCAGCTCCCTTTTACAGCCCACACGCTCACTTTCCGTCCTCGCCTCCACCCACGTCCATCCGCTGGGACCGCCCCAGGGACGCCTGCCTCCGTCCTTCGCCACGCCCAGGGCGCATGCGCACCCGTGGGCCCTTTGCGCCCTGCAGCCGCCTCTCCCGCGCCATCCGCCATCCGAGGGGCCGCAGCTCAGGCGCCCCCGCTCCTCCTCCCCAGGAGGCCGCTCTCTCTTGCTTTAAGCACCGCCGAGAAGCGGAAGGCGCTCACCTTGTCTCCAGGGCAAAACTCCACAGAGCCTCAGATTTGCGCTACCGCCTGCCAGACCGGACCGCCACCTGGTTACGCGCCAGGTCTGCCACCCGGAGCACGTGCGTCCGGGAACTTCCCATCCTCGGCCTCCCGCCAGATCCTCCCCAGATGCCCTTCCTCCCGCTGGCTCGGTGACTTCGCCAGGACGCAGTTCCCCAGGCCCAGTGGGGATCTACTCTCCCCCAACCCCACCCGCCTTCCCCAGCTGCACGTGCAACGAACCCATCCTTCTCCATCACCTTCACTGTTGCAACCAACTTCCGGTTGGTGTCACTGTGACTCTTGAACGCCCAGAACCCCTTCCCCACTCAGCTGTCGGCCGAGTTTTTAAAAATTTGTCGGATCACGTTCTTTCTCACTTAAAACACTCCCATGGCTTCCCACTGCCCGAGTAAAACCCATGCTCTTCCCCGTGGCGGCAAGGCCTCATGGCGGCGGCCGTAGCTCGACAGGCCTAGCCACACTGGACTCCCACCTCAGGGCCTTTGCACTTGCTGTTTGCTCTGCCGGAAAGCTTTGCCCACTGATCCAGGCACACGGGCTTTCTTGTCATTCAAGTTTTTACCTCTGAGAGACTTTCTCTGATCACTCAAGGACTACCCACTGCCATCTTCCCTTCATTGCCCTCAGCACTCATGGACATCTGAAATATTCTTCCAATCTCGTTTCTTCCCTATCCCTCCTGGGATGTGACAGGGCAGCAGGACCTACCTCTTTTGGTCTCTGCTGTATCCATGGCCCCAGGGACAGGTCCTAGCTCCTGGGAGGCACTCAGTAATTACTTTTTAAGTGAATAAAAACATCTGGTTTCTGTACTTGTCTTATTCTTAGGGCTAAAGATAATATTCCAGTAAAAGTGACGGTTTTTACTTTCTTTTGTTTATATAATGGAATAAAATCTTATTTTGGTTTCCCATATTTTCCTGATGGGAAAACTGAGGTATCAATGAAAGAAAGGTAAATTAGAGAACAAGAGCACAGAAGCGGATCTCACATCTAATGTCTCACACCCTCGCTAACAGAAATGCAGACATTGCCACCATTCATCTCCAGAACTTTTCATCATCCCAAACTGAAACTGTACCTATTAAACATCAACTCCCCATTCCTCCTCCCCCAGCCCCTGGCAACCACCATTCTTCTTCTGTCTGTATGAATTTGACTATTCTAGTCCCTTATATAAGTGATCATATAGTGTTTGTCCTTTGGTGAGTGGCTTATTTCACTTAGTATAATGTTTTCAAGGTTTAGCCATACTGTAGCATGTGTTAGAATTTTATTCCTTTTTAAGGCAGAATGATAGTGCATCGGATATATCACATTGTTTATCCATTTATCTGTTCAAAGACATTTGGGCTGTTTCCACCTTTTGGCTATTGTGAATAATGCTGTGATCAACATGGGTATGTAAATATCTGTTCAAGTCTCTGCTTTCAGTTTTTTTGGGTATATACCTAGAACCAAACTAGATTTAATATTATTCAATCCTGGGAGGGGGAAGCCTGCTTCACCCAGATCAGGGTTCTAACCTGGCAACCGTAGGATTTTCTAGCAGCTGTGTGTGTTTGCATATAGGAAAAACAAAAGTCTCAGGACCCCTCAAAATTCATTATGCCAAAAGGGAGAACAGAGCCTGAGAAGTAAGTTACATAAGCACTACCATCCTCTCCCCAATGAGGTACATGGGTCCTCTTTTAAGAAATAAAGGGGCTCAGAAAGAGGCTAAACAGGATTTTTCTCTTTGGACTGGGTAGGAGGAGAAAGGAAGCCTGGCTGGCAAGGTGTTCTTGCAGTGCAGATAAACCTCACAGGAACAGTCCTCAAGGACTGTTTTTTCATGTTTTTATTCAGACCTTTAAGGTCCATACTCTCTGCAGACCTGTCCCAGATTAAACAGGCAGGGCCCGGCTGCATTTAAGAGAGATTCTCTACAAAGGCAAATCTCTCCCCCAGCCTCCCCACCTAAACAGCTTTCCAGCATATCCCTGTTTGCCTGGAGCCATCTCCAAGTATGACAAAGAAACCCCTTCAAGATATACAGCCCCATCACTGAGTTAATGATCTGTTAGCGTGGAAAAAAAAAGAAAAAAAATAAAAGATATACAGCCCCTATAAAATGAGTGCATGTCAATCATAACCTTAGGACTGTAGCCTGAATGAACTCGTAAATGTCGGTTACCAGTTTATCTCCACAGATGCAAGTCAAGGAACAGATGTGATCACTCTTCTACCCACTCTGAGATTCACAACATGGACTACTTACCTCCTCTACCCCTCTCTTTTGAATGATCATCTTATCTTATGTAGATTGGACACCAAATACAAAGTCACAAGAATACCGTCAATCACCTCACTGCTCATCTCCTTCACCCCTCTCTTTTCCTTGTGCACCCTCTTTTTTCCTTCATTTGTGAAATCTCAACCTCTTCCATGGGGAGTCTAGCCCACAACAGATACTTTGGGCTGTGCTTTTCCTGGGCACACCCTTAAAGTCTTGGCTTAATAAACCTCAATTAAGTGTGACTGTCTCCTTTTCAGTCACTATTTAAGTTAGCACTTGGAGGCCCTCCCTTCAAAAGGGAATCCCAAATTTACAATACACTTTTTCTCCTGTCCCCACATAACCATGGCAAAGAGAAATAAATGCAAAGCAAGCAAACCCAGCACCCCACTCAAAAATCACTCCTCCTGAATTTCCAGTAATGACAAAATGAAATGTAAAAATAAGAAATTTTTATTAAAAGTTAAAAATGTTTTCAAAGTTTATACATGCAAATAGATAATTCCACCATCATATGGACTTTTAAATCAATGACAAACAGTTACAAACCGGTCTGGCAAAACATGCATCAGCTACCTAACTCCCCCTGTGTACTTGTATCAGGGTAAGCCTGCTCACTGGGAAGGAAACCCCATACACTTACCAGAATGTCCCTGCTGCTGCTATTGCCCTCAAGGTCTGGCACAGAGGGGAGGGAACAGTCCTTGCCATAACTGGGACTGAGACTAGCACTAGGGCTCTCTGCATCACCCCAGCAGCCACGATGTGCCAGGACCAGAAAGAAGCCCCCTCCAGTCCTGAGCAGAGTCCATCTGGGCCAGTGACCTTCTGCTACGCTGGGTTTCCAGTGGTTCTCAACGCTGGCTGCAAGTTACAATCATGGAGAAGTTTTCAAAATATCCTGATTGCCTGAGCCACAAATCAATTAAGTCAGAATCTCTAGGAATAGCGCCTGAGCAACTGCATGTTTTGATAGCTCCTGGGTGGTTCTGATGCTCGTGGAGGAGAAAACCACCACAGCCATTCCTTTCTGCACTCTTACCTTCTGAGAAGTCGCCCTTGTTCTGTTTCAAAACATCTCGCATGTCTAACTTGACTTTCGGATGTTTAGTTTCCACCACTGGTTTATGAAGGGTTAAAAAAATAGAGCACCCAGATTTCGTAAAAAAAGTTTATTTTCATATAAAAGTGCCAAAATATCCACCAATGTCATAATCTATCTGAACAACCAGTTTACACTAGCAATCAAAACACAAGCCTCTTTATTCACATTGTTTAAAAATCCAATTCTTTTCACACATTCCCACAGTAACTAGAGTCTCTCGACAGCGGGAAGTTTGCGTTCCTGTTTGCCGTGGTAGTCCATATGTCCAGGTTCATGTAGGCACGAAACGGGTTGAACCCCGGGTAGTATTCCTTGCACATGACGGCCTGGTTTTCCATGTGAGTAGAATGTTCCGTGGTAGGATTGATGGGGCAGCAATTTTCATACACATCGCTTTGCGGGGCCCAAATGGAACCAAAAAGTCCAGACATTGGAGACAAGCTTCGGGTGCTCGTGAGGTAGGGCTGAAGTGCAAATGGGGAGGGGAAGAAAAGGTTAAAAGAAACAAAACCATCCAAGTCACATTAGAAAGCAATGTCGAGACTGAATATATACCAGTGGATACTATACAGGTATCAATCCAAGTTAACTTGGAAGTTATCAAACTATTCTCAAATTAGATCTGGCTTGCTTTTAACTCCATTTCTCTCAAAGTGTAATAGAGAGAGAGAGAGTGTGTGCGTGTGTGTGTGTAATCCTCATCTAACTAGATAACCTTATTTGCAACCCAAGGAAGAACCCACTCACAGCCAAATGCCCTTTATCTGCAAAAAAAAAGTGTCAGGTAGATGTGAAAGGGGAAAATGTTGGGCTTTTTAGCAGGGAGGGGTGGGTGGTCACAGGCAGGAGGCTCTCAGGACCCAGGCCCTGACCACCCACTCACCTTCCTGGGACTTTCATTTCATCTCTTATCACAGATGAAAAGGTCAGTGAGTCATATCACAGAGGCCTCCCTGGCCCATGTTCAATTTTATCTACAAATGATCACCACTTGTTGTATTTGGGGAAGTCTTTCATTTAGGGTGGCTAGAATATCACTGTCGGCAAGATCCCCCAGTCTGCCTACTGTCAGGTCCTGTCAGAGGGTGGCCAGCCCTGGCTCCTGTCATCTACAAGAACCAAGCCAGCCTCTGGCTGACCCAAACCAAACCCAGTGCTAATGCTAGTCGAGACCAGGATTAAAGATGCACCAGCAACAACTCGGAGCTGCCCTGGGGCTCCCAGCACAGGACGGCAACACTGACCGGAGAGTTGATGAAACTGGCGTGTCCCCAGGCAGCAGGCATGTTGGGTGGGGCGTTCCAGGTAGACTGAGAGTTGTGATCGATGAAGTCTGTCTGAACTTCGGCAGGGCAGGGGAAGCCGTTGGCATAGTTCATGTTTTCTGCAAAAAACGGGAGACATGGACACAGGTATACACCTTCATGGAGAGCAACGAATTCTCGCTCTCAGGCAGAACAGCTGTGAAAGCTTTAACTACATTGACAAGTTAAAATTCTCCCTGTGTGTGTGGACCAGGAATGTTGTTTCACTGTCATTCTCAAGGCTAAAACTTCACCAGACACACCACCTGGGAAACCCTCAATGTGGAAGGTCTTCCTCTGGGCTTATTTTTCTGTATCTGATGGGAATCTTTCTATTACACCAAGTATGCTAAAATACTACTGGAGACTTAAATGGTGTCAAGATGCTTACCAGTCCTTAAAACAAATTTTTATTACTTGTCACACCATCCTCAGCCACCCACACATATACCGTATTGGCTGATAAAGCAACGTGAAACCAAGCACTTCTTAGGTACCAGTGAGAGGATAATAAACATGAAGCCTCACAATGGTAGGACGGAAGTGACGGAAGCACCCTCTGGTGGTTAGCACAACACAATGCACACACCGGAATCTAGACGAGAATACCTATGTGGCTTATCCCTTCCCTGAAAAGGGAGCTCTAGTATAAGAAATCACCATCAGACAGTAATGTACAACAAGAGCATTTTACATTTGATCAGGGAAATCTCATATATTTATTTATTATCATAGACGCTTGAGCCCAAGTATCTGCAATTTTCCACAATTTCCCCTCCAAACCCCTTTCCTTTCTTCTGCAATACCACCCAGGGGCAGAGGAGTCAGGATATGAAGAACCAGCAGGTAAATATTTCTATTTCATGTGGGACTTGACTGCCCAAAAAGAACAGCAAACAACTAAAGTCCCAGCCTCCCAATGGATAACCCACAATGTTAGGTCCACACAGAACCAAACAACCCAATACTACCTCATGCGAAGGACTAAATGAATTAGAGTTACTTGTAGAAGCCCCCAGATACCAGATTTAGAGGGCTTTTTGAGGGCTATATAAAATTATATATGGCAGGTACAAAAGGATCCACATGAAGCCCATTTAGCAGCCTAACTGTGTGTTCATTCAAAGCCTGCTCACCGCTAACAGGCACATTCTCCTGCAGGTTAGTGCTGTAAGTCCACACACTGCCTGCTTTGACCTTCTGAGAATAAAAGAATGGCACTGGGATTGTTTACATAGCTCTTACCTTCTGGGAAGGCGTTGTAATCGTTCAACTCCAATGGACAGTACACACTGGGAAACTGGCCTTCGCACATGGCATTCCAATCGATGAAACTGCGACAAAAAAAACAAGAGGTCTGGCTTCAGAAACAGGATGTCAACACATCAAGTCAAGAAAGAGGAAAACAACTGTATTGCTCTGCCTCCTAATCACCACAAATGCCCCAATTGGGGGAAATAAAAGATGTACTTTCTCAAGTCACAGAATCAAAGACTTACTAAACACTCGTCACCAATGAGGCTCCGCCTGCAGGATGGATGGCTTGGACTAGGAGCACACTTCCTCTGCCATCATGTCTGCTAACTAGAGACAGAATCCAGGCCTGCAGTTTTATTAGCACCGTGGAGGAACAACTGGAAGGACCTGAACATGAAAATGTCTACCTTCCACTCAGAGCAAGACCGGCATTCATCTTAGGGAAGTCACAACTGTAAGGACTATAATTCATGATACTCTGATCACTACTGCAAAGTGGATTTTTTTTTTTTTTTTTGAGACAGAGTCTCACTTTGTTGCCCAGGCTAGAGTGAGTACCGTGGCGTCAGCCTAGCTCACAGCAACCTCAATCTCCGGGGCTCAGAGATCCTACTGCCTCAGCCTCCCAAGTAGCTGGGACTACAGGCATGCGCCACCATGCCCGGCTAATTTTTTGTATATATATTTTTAGTTGGTCAATTAATTTATTTCTATTTTTGGTAGAGACGGGGTCTCGCTCAGGCTGGTTTCGAACTCCTGACCTTGAGCAATCCGCCCGCCTCGGCCTCCCAAAGTGCTAGGATTACAGGCGTGAGCCACCACGCCCAGCCCAAACTGGATTTTAATTATAGAAATGAGAAGTAAATACTGCTGTAGTTAGGTGAACAAAAACCCCCTTCAAATGGATTCTGTGATCCAATAAAGATACTAACATTTTCTTAGAGCCCACTAATCGAATGGCACATTAAATATCAAATAGTAAAATTCAGAAACTGCCATTATGTAACTATTTTTCAATACCTAAACTATTTGATCTTTTAAAATTTTAAATGTATCCAGATTACAAGCTATTGTCCTCAAAGGAGAAAAAAAAAAGAGGAAAAAAAGAAAAAAAATATTTCAGGGAGGGGAGGAGAAACCCAATCTTAGGGATGTGGCGAGCATTTTGGAGGGGAAGGGCATAAATCTAACCCTTCTTAGGGAGAGGCAAAGATATACAATGTAACCAAAATGTCAAAAAAAAAACATTTTGGGAGGTGGGCAGGCGGGAGCAGGGAGGAGGGGAGAGGTGTATACTGACATGATGTGTGCGGTGCCCACCGCCTGGGGATTGGACACGCTTGAATCTCTGGCATGTCCGGGGGAGGGAGGGGACAGGGGCAATATTTGTAGCCCTAACAATATTTGTACCCCCATAACATGATGAAATAAAAGGTAAAAAAATATTTCAAATGGGTTCAAGAGTAAGGCCGTGGAAAAATGGAAATCTTTCCTCTGCTAGGGGAGAGGAAATATGAGGGATTGTTTTTTCAAATTTGCCTCTCATGTATGAACAGATCATCTCTTCAGTTTAAAAAAAGGAAGTAATGATATGGCCACCAGCTTTACTACTTTTATTTCCTCCCATGTTTCTTTCAATGCCTGGTTTGTATTTTTCTAAGACATCACAACACAACAACTCTAAAAGGCAGCTAAAGGCCGGGCGCTGTGGCTCACGCCTGTAATCCTAGCACTCTGGGAGGCCGAGGCGGGTGGATCGCTCGAGGTCAGGAGTTCAAAACCAGCCTGAACAAGAGCGAGACCCCGTCTCTACTATAAATAGAAAGAAAATTAATTGGCCAGCTAATACATACAGAAAAAATTAGCCGGGCATGGTGGCGCATGCCTGTAGTCCCAGCTACTCGGGAGGCTGAGGCAGTAGGATCACTTGAGCCCAGGAGTCTGAGGTTGCTGTGAGCTAGGCTGCCGCCATGGCACTCACTCTAGCCTGGGCAACAAAGTGAGACTCTGTCTCAAAAAAAAATAAAAAAATAAAAAAAATAAAAGGCAGCTAAAGCACACCGAGGAAGGAGCCTGGCCTCGTGTTTGTAAGGAATGCCTAACAAACTGAATTCAAATCCCGGCTGCACGTGCTCGGGCTGAGCACGGTGAGGAGCAGCTGTACCTGCTGTGGACGGGGCCGGGCTCCTGCAGCACACACGGCCCGCTGTTCTCCAGAGCGCAGGTTAAGCCGCTCGCCAGACACACCGGCTGGGTGGGCCACAGGTCTCCGGGCGAGTATAGACCTAAGGAAGAGAACAAGGCGGCTCAGTCCACCATCTCCCACCCGGCCCCCCTCCTGCCCTTCGGCAACACTCGCTCAACTGCGCGTCCCTCCAGAAAATATCCCCCAACGCCACCCATAGGAGCATACACTCCTTCTGCCTTTCGGGATGTCATTTCAGGACTTAATGGTGAAACAGCACATTGCTCTGACCATCACTTCAGATGGCGTGCAACCGTCTCCTGACCTGGACAAGATGAGAGTCACTTAAGCATCCGAGGGCCTGCTTTCCGCAAGGCCCCGTTACAGACACCAGGGATGCTGCAGTGAGCAAGCTACACTCAGGTGAGCAGAGGCAAACAACAAACAAAAGAAGAAAGAAATACAGCAGGGCAGATGCTCTGTGTGCTATTATGGGGAACACCGTGGTTTTAAGCAGGGCGGTCAAAGGCCTCGCTGAAGGACAGCTCACCAAAGATGTGGCCGAGGCAAGGAGCTGAGCCAAGTGGGCAGAGGGAAGCCCAGCCCAAACAGCGGGTAGAATATAGCAAGACCCTGAGTCAAGGTGATGAGTTCAAACAGCAAGGGCATCAGTGTGGCCAGGGGTAGGAGCAGAGGAGTGGGGGATGAGCAGAGGACAGAGCCTGACAAGAGAGAAGACAAGACAAGAGAGACAAGAGAGACTTGTCTTCAAGCAGTCAGCCTGCTCAGAACCTTCCAGCAGCTTCCCATCTCAAGCAGAGTAAATGCCCCAATCCTTTAAGGGAAGGTTCTGAGCAGGCTGACTGCTTGAAGACAAGTCTCCCCCGTTTCTGCACATCTTGCCAACAGAGGCACCAATGGCCTCTGCTCCCGACTATCTTTTCCCAGATGTTTGCTAAGCAAAAGCCTTGGAACATATAGTGCCTCCCTCTGGAGGAAAGGGCAGGCATGCTTCTTGCCTATTACAAAACATTTGGGGACCCCAAGCTCAGGCACTAAAGGGTATTTGCTTTGACACAGATTGTTATTTTCCCCTAAATCCCACCTCTTCTCTGTTACAGAAAGAAGGTGGTACCATCTAAACCGGCCCCAAAATCTTGCCTCAGCAAACTAAGGATTCTTGAATTTAAGATTTTTTAAATTGAAGACACTTATTTTACTGTACTAACCATGAGCTCCAATTCACGAATATTTATGCTGATAACCCAACAAATCCAAAACTTAATCCAAGGAATAGCTTAGAACCCTTCTGCTTGCAAAGAAAAAACTCTCCACTGTGCAGAGCAGCAATAATTTACGTGAGCAAAAGCAAGTATGTGTGTTAAAGCCACGGAGAGTAAAAATCAGCTTATTCTGCCGCAATTCCTGACCCTCATTAGGCAGGAAAGCAGCCCCGGAATAAAACAGAAGACCGAAGACAAAGACAAAGAGAGGCAGAAGAAGAGGAGGAGGAAGAGGAAAGGAGAAGAAAAACTCGGGGAACTGGTGTTAACCTCCCATCAGAGACCCCAGGCAGGAGTGGGGTCTCCTTCCAACCCACTCCTATCTCCACGCTCCCAGGCCACTGTCCTCTCGCCTGCAGAAGGTCTGAGGGGCCCAGCTCTCAGCCTCATCCCTGGAGCAGGAGCAAGGTTGGTCCCCAAGGCTGCTGAGGCCACATCAACAGGCTTCCAAGACAAGGTGAGCTGTGGGACCATATTGGGGCACAGGGCACCTGTGCCTCGGCCGTGGGGAGGAGCTCAGTGTCGACACACAGGGTCCCTGGAGCAGGTGCTTCCTAACGCAGGGAGCACGGCTTGGTGACGGCCCTGCCCGACTCAGCCCGCTTTGTCATCTCAAGCCCACGGCCAGGAACACAGATGGCGCAGCGGCCTGGCTGGCGTGTGCAGCGAGGAACGCGCCTCACCTTTATCTTCCTCGGCGCCCGCGGGCGCGGCGGGAAGGCCGGGGCAGGAGGGCTCTGCGTACTGCGGGAGGTTGTTCACGTCACTGTGGGGAGAGCGGGCAGAGGAGGAACCACTGAATTTTTTCTGTACAAGGAAATACTGATACTGTACAACCAAATCTGATCCAGTTTTTACACGCAATCTTCCTCCGGGAAACATACAGATCTTAGGAATGTAAAGGTTACACATCCAGAAAAGAGTCGAGGAATATTAAATTCCTAAGATCTAGCAAAGACTTGTTTTAGTTAATTAACAAACAGTAAAAACAATTTAACTAAGGTAACCTGCGGTTTCGGGTCTGCCCACCGCCAGCTGTTAGCAATTCCTGTCTCTCAGTTACCTCCCACCCCTAACAAAACCAGTGCAGAAAGGGCTTTCCTTGTCCACTCCTCACAGACTCGCCCATCTAACTGCATCCTCCTGTCCTCTCGCAACGAGGCAGGCACCTAGGAAACCTGACGACATTTCTCACTCCGAAACCCTCTCCTTCTCGCTCACCATGCTCTCTGCTCTCACTCAGGAAAAGGAGCTTGTTTATTCTGCCCGATGCTGCAGCAATCGTCACACAAGTGGAACTGCAAACGTGCGGGTTATCTACTCGGTTCTTGCAAAAGTTTCTAAATCATCAAAGCTCAGTTGTATGTCAAGGCCTAGCAAAGGGCAGATGATTCCTATCTTTATAATAACTACTGCTTCCTCTTTCTACTTTCAGAAGTGAGGTATTTTCTACCATGGCTGTATCACTGAAAAGACCACTGAGACCAGAGATAGGCCCGAGTGAACTGTGTTTGCTTAGAAGGGTTGTTCCTTCTGAATTAATAACAAAATCCGATTTTAACTTTCCCGCATCTTTAAAAAGGTTTTCAGCCGGGCGCGGTGGCTCACGCCTGTAATCCTAACTCTCTGGGAGGCCGAGGTGGGCAGATTGCTCGAGGCCAGGAGTTCGAAACCAGCCTGAGCAAGAATGAGACCCTGTCTCTACTATAAATAGAAAGAAATTAATTGGCCAACTAATATATATAAAAAAAATGAGCCGGGCATGGTGGCGCATGCCTGTAGTCCCAGCTACTCGGGCGGCTGAGGCAGAAGGATTGCTTGAGCCCAGGAGTCTGAGGTTGCTGTGAGCTAGGCTGACGCCATGGCACTCACTCTAGCCTAGGCAACAAAGCGAGACTCTGTCTCAAAAAACAAAACAAAACAAACAAAAAAAATAATAAAAATAAAAGGGTTTTCACATTTTAACCTGCAGAATCAAGTACAAAGAAGAAACATGGTACCTGATAGAAAGTACATGAAATATACCGCAAAAGCTGGAAAATTAAAAACTCACATGGGGTTGCAGATGTTATGAGAAAGATTCAAGGAGATGGGAGTTTCAGAAGGAAAATCATTCTGTGAAACACTGTCTCCTGCAATAAAAACAAAAAACACATTATCACAAGCTTTGAAAATATAAACTGTATATATTCTGTATTAAAACGCATATTTTTAGTATCACTAGGCCCTAATGAGCAATTTATTTTTCACTTTCAACTGATACTCACACATTAATTTTTAAAAGGTGCCTTTTATCTTTTCATTGAAAAGTTAACTCAACAGTTTATAAGAATTTTGGATTAATAATGCTACATAATGAAGAAAAGTTGAAACCATCAATATTATGTAACTTCTTAATAGGGTTTTTTTCCCTGAGAAGAGAAATTTAACTACATAAACTACAGTGTCCCTTCCCCCAGCTTATAAAGGAATATGTCCATTGTAGGAAACCTATAAAAACACAAGCTGAGTGAAAAAGAGCAAGGTGCTATACTGAATTATGATTCCATTTATGTAAGTTAAAGACTAATAATTCTGTATTTTCTTGATGGATATATGAATGTAAAATAAAAAAATGGATGAAAGGATACACACCAAATTCATGACAGTGGACAGTGATTGTTTCAGGTGGGGGCGGAGAAGCTGACAGATGATAAGTATTTTTTCTTTAAAAAAAAAAAAAAAACAAGAGCAAATGTGACAAAATTAAGAGTTGTTAGGCCATCACGGTGGCTCATACCGAGGCAGGCGGATCATTTGAGCTCTGCAGTTTAAGACTAGCATGAGCAAGAGCAAGACCCGGTCTCTACTAAAAATAGAAAGAAATTAGCCAGACAACTAAAAATATATAGAAAAAAATGAACCAGGCATGGTGACGAATGCCTGTTGTTCCAGCTACTCAGGAGGCTGAGGCAGGAGGATCACCTGATCCCAAGAGTTTGAGGTTGCTGTGAGGTAGGCACTCTAGCCTGGGCAACAGAGTAAGACTCTGTCTCAAAAAAAAAAAAGAAGAAGAGCTGTTGATTCAGGATGATAGAAACATAGATGCTTCTTTAACCTCTCTCCTGTATAATTAAATTTCTCAAAAATTTGCTGTTCACAGCAGCATTGTTCATTAACAGCTAAAAGGTGGAAGCAATCCAAGTGTTTATTCACAGAGAAATGAATAAACAAAATGTGATTTATTCCAAATGGAATATTATTTAGCCTTGAAAAGGAAGAAAAATTCTGACATACACTACAGCATAGATGAACCTTGAGGACACTATGCTAACCAAAATGATCTAGTCACAAAAACATAATCGCACTGCACCACCCCACTTACGCGAGATACCGAGAGGGGGCCAATCCAGAGGCAGAGAGTGGAAGGGTGGTTGCCAGGGGCTACAGGAAGGGAGGAACGGCAAGTCACTGCTTAATGGGTACACGAGAACGTGAATGTACTTACCACCACAGGGCAGCGCACTTAAAAGCGGTTAAAATGGTAAGTGTTGTGTCACGTATATTTTACTATTAATACAATAAAAAGAACGTACAAATGAAAAATTCAATGTAGATGCTCCTTGAACTGCGTCAAAGGCGGACACTAAATAAAAATGATGATGATGATGATGATGGAGGGAAAGAAAGAGGGAGGAGAGAGGGAAGAAAGGAAAGTGAATGAAGTCCAAAGCAAAGACTGGAGCCCACAGGCCCATCTCTGGCTGTGTACCGGGTACTCGGGAGGGGCAGGCAGAGGGGCCACTAGAGCGCGCCTGGATCTCTGCCCAGCACTCACCGGCCGGCAGGAAATGCTGGGCGTCCACCGCGGGCTTCTTGTCCCCGTCGGAGCTGCTGGCACTGCTCCAGCTGCCCCAGCTGCCGCGGCTGGCGCGCACGCTGCCCGAGGAGCTCCCGCAGTCCGAGCTGGAATCGGAGCAAAACCTGTCCGCGCACTTCCTCTCAGGTTTCTGGCAGTAACCCTCTGTGGGAAGTGAGGGAGGGCAGTCACATTCCACTGAAACAGCTGTCACCTTGGTGCCATTTGTAACAAAAGGAGAGAGGCAAAAATAGGGGAGGGGCAAGGTGCAGCTGTCGGGTCAGCTACCTCTCACCTAGCAAGAGCAGAGAAGGAGGTCACAGGAACTGATGGTGGCACTTAAGGAAACAACAGGATGGGCTATGTCTACTCCACCTGAGGCATGCACAATTAAGGGCTGAGACGGCCAATTACCAGCTATAACTGTGATCTAAAAATGGTTCTTGAAATAACAAACGACTTCTATCAAGAAAACTGAGGCTACTCCCTTTGACTGGAGATGTGTAGGTAATTTTCTCCCTCTCATTTATTAAGATGTCCACTAGGAGTTTCAAAATATTATTGACGTGAGGGTGGGAAGAACCTCCAATAAGAACAAAAAGCAACACACCTGTCCAAGGAGTGAAAACCAGAGGGCAGAGGCAGAAGCCAGGTAACTGGCTTGTGTGCACCAACGTGGGGCCTGAGTCTGGGGAAAGTGTATGTTGACTGAGAGGGTTGCAAACCTCTACCACGCTATACTCCAAGTGGACTGCCAAACTCAATGTCCCTCCAGCCCCCTCACTCTCCTGCACCTGACCCTGGACCTAGCACTGGGTGGCCCTCTATCTCCCACTCCCAGGGACACTGCCCAGCAGTCCTTAGGTGGGGCGACAGCCTGGCTCAGGTAAGGGGATAGCACCGTCTCACCTGGCTGCTCCTCTCTTACACCAAGGGGCTCCTACCTGGAGCAAGCAGCCACTGTTCCTTCAGCAACATGCAAGAGGACAGTTACAAATGGCCAGATGTCTTGCTTGGGGGACACTAGAGGCCTACTCAGGCTCAAAAGAATCTTAGCTGTCTGGTCTCACCCTGACAGCTTTCCAATGGGCTTTAATTAGCTAAGCTGCCCGTGAAGATATAGTGTCGAGATGCCATTTCTCTCACTGAATACTTCCTAGAGGAGCCAAAACTCCCAAGAGAAGCATCACTCACGTGTAGCTCAGTATGGTGACGTACCTGCCTCTCTCTGTGCTGCAGGCAAGCCGCTTGCAACCGCAGCATCCGCTTTACACATCTCCCTGGCGTCTTCCTGTGCACCCCAGTTTCTCACATCCACGTCGCCACTCAGCTCAGGCCTCTCAAAGTCACTGTACACAAGCTTCAGTTCACTCTGTTCAGAAGGCCTGGAAGAGCCACACGCAAAAAGTCACATCCCTATGTAGTCATGTACACATACAGACTTCCCTTCCACGGGACTTGTTAGAGGTGACAATATGAACCTGGGACCACCTGAGGCCTCCTCTCTCTGGCTCTGGTGGGAGAATATGACGAGCAGGAAGGGATGCCAGTAAGAAAGGACCTTGCCATTTTAGGACTAGAATTAATTTGCAGCTCATCTGATCTATTTTCACAGTTTACAGTGAAAGGGCTAAGACTCCACAAGGTCAAACCCAAGGTCACACAGTAAGTGGCAGGACCAGAACCAGAACCCACAACTCATGGCTTATTTTCCTTGTTAGTGTGAAATATGATTTTCCATAGCTGAACCTGCTTGCTGGTGTCTGGCTGGAGGGACTCAGAGATAATTTAGATACATCCTCCTTCATTCATTTAGAGAAACACTCCTTAAATAGGAGCAGTGACCGCCACACACCACGTACTGTTATGAAAGGTGCGGTGGCTACAAAGAAGAATACGGTTCTTACCCTGAGGATTTCAAAGTTGAACAATTCCTCTTTTACAAGACCACGGACGCAAGGGCAGAACTGCAATATAATTTCATAAATAGCATATGGAAATGTAGGAAATACTACAGGAGTAACTGGGTGATTATTTCACACGGTCCAACGTCAGTACCTAGCACTAGGTTCGTAGGATGGCAGGTAAGAAGATCAAATACGTGAGCTGTACTGGGTGATTTCACTGATTTCTAATCAAGGTAAAAAAGAGTATTTAGACAGACACCAGCGCCAAGGAAATAGACAATACAACAACCTACTTCGTATGCATCATGGTCCAAAAACATTCTGATTAGCTACGGGCTACTTAAAAGTTATTTTTTAACAACTTATTCATTTCTTCAGTGTGTCAGAAATCTGCTTTTAAAAATGTATAACATTATTTAATTGGTGGAATTCCACTCTAATTTTATATCTTTCTATATGTTCATGTCATGCAAATATACTTTTAAGTGACCTCACAGTCAATCAAATGTTTATAGAAATACATGTATATGAATATATCGAGGTCTGAGTTCTCCTTTCTACAGAATACTCAAATCATTTAGTCTACATAATCCAGGCCTAAATAAGGAAAATCGTCTGCCAATAATTACATTTTAGTGTTAACAGGAAATTAATAATGGATATATGTATGTTGTTTCCTATTTGCATTTTGCTGATTGCCCAAGGTGTGCTGAGTGTGGACGCAGAGCCTAAAGAAACCCTGGCGCCGTTCCCTGACCACTACCCAGGGAACGCATGCAAGAATCGCCGGGGAGTTTGTCGTGAGCTAAAACCACTGGCTCTGAGCTCAAGACTGCAACGTCCCCCGGGGCTGGAGCAGGCCCCTAAACAGCACCATATGTGGCCTGGTGCCGGCGGGCGGCCTGCCAGCCTTCCCTCCCGACAACAAGCTCCCCTGCAACACAGTGGAACCCTTTCCCCATACGGATTTGGAACTGCTGGAAAAAAATTTAACAGAAATACATTTATGTATCTAGCAGAGCTCACAAGAAAAGAGAAATCCCTAGATACCAGAACACAAAAGAACAAGCCCGAGTGGGGGGTCGGGGGTTACTGCACAGGAAATGGGCCTCACTGCTGGGCAGCTGCGGTTCAGTGCCTGCTCCACAGATTTAGTGCCTGCTCCCCATCCGGAGGCTGGGACTGCATCTCCGTGTGACACCAGGGCCCTGGGAGGGGGCTCCTCTGTCCATAGATCCCAGGAGGCAAAGGCAGGGGAGCACGTCTTTGCCGGACGCTGCCACGTGTGCATGCCGGGGTGTTGGAAGCCTAACATAAGAAACCAAAACTTGGAGACTATATGCCACGTGGGGCGCTGTGGGGGGATTTGCACACACTACTTACCTGGCAGGAAAAAAATCCTCAAGCTGAGAAATGTACGTACACTTCCATTTAGGGGGCTATTTGTAGCATCCCAGCAAGAATACAGGATTCTACACGATCCCTGTCTGGCTCCGTTTACAGATAAGAACGTGGGAGTTCAGGGAAAGCACGTGCCTTGAAGCGAGCTGTCCAAAACAGAGTGCCAAAGCGCCTGGCTCCCGATTCTGCCTCTGCCCCTTACCAACCCTGGCTTTAAGCAAACCACGCAGTATCTGGGCCCCTCACTTCCCACGGCTGCTAAGGAGCCTACGTCCGCAGGACTGGAGCGAAGTTAACCTGAGTGGTAACCTTCTTTTCTCTCCAGTTCTACTTCATTATTACGGCCAGTCAGTGGCCGCAGTAGGCACAGGCGGCCTGCCCACATCGCGCGGTCTTCTCCCGTTCCCGCTCTGCAGACACTCCTGCGCTTCTCAGGCAGAAGGAAGGGCTTCTTCCCATGGAGGGATGGCTTATGCTTTTTCACTACAGCCTCCCACAGCTTTTAGCATTTCAAAAAAATTGGGTCGCTTTAAGGTATTTTTAGCAAAGTGAAAACAATGCAAAAATGTTAATTTTACAAATATATTTTAATCTCAAAATACAATCGCCTACACTCTCATCTGTATCCAGCGTAACAGAAATAAGATTAAAAGATAATAGTTAAATGCAAAATTGTAAAGTGAAAAACAGATCGAAACTGTAAAGGGATAGTAAAAATTACACACCTTGAAGCCTGAGCAACACCCCTTTTCTTGTTTTTTCTACATGTTCGGCTTTTATTCCAATTTAAATTTTGTAAATTTCCTTCCTTTTTCTCCTGAAGCTTCTTCTTCCTAGAAGGATCTTCTTGCTAAAGAGAAAAAAGAAAATGTTTAGTGGTTTAAAACAGAGTAAACATGAATAAAAACCTGTGATTTTTTTTTTTTTTAAACTTTTGAGACCAGCTCCATCTGAATTTAGAATGTCCTAGCACTGGTGAAACTGAGACATATGTTTCTCAATCTCTAGTTTGTTTTCATTTCCCTCCTTGCTCTACTTCCCTCAAGCTCCACAGAAAGGAAAGAAAAAAAGAATTGTTGCCTATAAAATTCCTAAGGGGCTAAAAAAGAAAAACATCTGCTAGCAATTTATGGTCAGCTTGCTGTTAACTTTAGCAGTAATAAATCCTCCACCCTTCACCTGTTAATTTGGTATGTGCAACTCACATGAATTACTTACTACTGAAGAAAAATCAGGTAAAAACTCAACTTTGGAGCGAGTTGTGTATTTATGCTTCTGTTTGCTTACAGATGAACTTTAGGAGAACAACCAAACCTCCACAGAATGCTCCAACCTAGCTTAAGCTGCTTGGGTAAATAAGGCAAGAATATATTTGATGTTTTTGTTTTTTTGGAGACAGTCTCACTGTCACCTGGGCTACATTACAGTGGCTCGATCACAGCTCACTGCAACCTCAAACTCCTGGGCTCAAAGATCCTCCCGCCTCAGCCTCCTAAGTAACTGGGACTAGGGGCGTGCCTGACACCAGCTAATTTTTTTATTTTTTGTAAAGACAGGGTCCTGATATGTTGCTCAGGCTGGTCTCAAACTCCCAGCCTCAAGAGATCCTCCTGCCTTGGCCTCCCAAAATGCTAGGATTATAGGTGTGTGCCACCATGCCCGGCCGCTTGATGTTTTCAGATGTGGTTCTGAAAAAACTTAATTCAGCATGAGATGTGCATATATATAAGTTGAAAGTATATGTATTAAATATGTACAGTTTTTTAAATTTGGGCTTTTCTCTCTTTTAATGACAGTCACAGCCTATTAACAGGCCCAAGGGGAGTGGGATTCTCCTTGCTCTTTCAAATTTTAAAGCAGCTCAAATCTTTAATACCTTCTAATACTTACTACTCCTTACTACTCCTCTTCCTTCCACACACTCCCCCCTCAAAGCAGGGACACTGTCAGCAGGCAGGCGCTCACACACCGAGACTCAAGGGCTTAAAAAAACACATCTCTTAAGGTGTGATGTCTCTTCGAGAGGAAAATGTCTTCTCCAGGGACCTCCCAGAGGCAAATCCTATGGTGCAAAAGAGTCCTCTTCCTATCGACCCTCAGGATTCTCACTTCATGAAAAGCAAACATTTGGCTAATTGTACCTTCTTTTTCAGAAGGTTGATCCAGAAAATCAGAGTAGGAGTCCATGAAGTTCTAACATACGTTTGACTAACACATATGCATTACCTACATGTCCTACGCCTGGGATACTAGAATCCCCATGCATCTACGAAAGCAATGTGCACACCACAACACACACACACACACACACACACACACACACACTAGAAATAAAAGGAAATTTTAACTGTGTATGCAGTAGGAGTATGGAATTTTTGCTTTCTTCTTTATACTCCTTTAATTTTCCCCCCAATTAGTATGTATTAACTTTTTCCTGATTCTGAAGATATTTTAAAAATCTGATAAGTGAAACATACAAAGCCCTATCTACAACACCTTATGCTAATTCCTAAGTTTGATGCTAAACAGACACAGGAAAGACAGACTCATGATCCAATGTTAAACTTAGACACACACCGTATTTATTCATGTACTGTTCCTTTGTGTTTTTCTAACTGGGAGGGAGAGCTTCCCTCTCCCCAACCCTGTCCACTCAAGGGCCAACAAAGGTTTGTCAACACAGCAAGTACTCGAGCCTTTCCATCCCTCCAGGGTTAGGTGCAAATAAACGATCCACCTCTAAGTGGGGTCAGAGAAAGCAGGAGCTGGCCAGCAGTCACGCTGACACTTGGCTGGAACTGCCATCCCGTGCAAGCAAGAGGGCAAGTACGTTTAGCACTACCGAGAGGTGGGACTCGATAGTCAGGAGCAAGCCAGAACCTCCATGAGTGTCAAGAAAGGGAGGGAGGCCAGGTGCGGTGGCTCACGCCTGTAATCCTAGCTCTCTGGGAGGCCGAGGCGGGAGGATTGCTTGAGGTCAGGAGTTTGAAACCAGCAAGAGCAAGACCCTGTCTCTACTATAAATAGAAAGAAATTAATTGGCCAACTAATATATATAGAAAAAATTAGCCGGGCATGGTGGCGCATGCCTGTAGTCCCAGCTACTCATGAGGCTGAGGCAGCAGGATTGCTTGAGCCCAGGAGTTTGAGGTTGCTGTGAGCTAGGCTGATGCCACGGCACTCACTCTAGCCTGGGCAGCAAAGTGAGACTCTGTCTCGAGAGAAAAAAAAAAAAAAAGAAAGGGAGGGAGCGTGCTGGACAAGCTGGCCCAGAGGTGTAAGTGGAATGATCAAGACACAGGGTCCATGAGCAACACAGCAGGGGACAAGACAAAGCTCCAGATGAGAGAGCAAAAGGATAAAAGATGTAGCGAGGAATGAAAAACCAACCAAAGACCTTTATCTGTGGAGCAAAATCAGAAGCAACCGGCAGTGAACAAGGATCCGGCTGCCGTGGGGCTGAGAGAGGAAGGTCTGCAGTGGAGGAGTGGATGGAACACAGAGGGGAAGTGAACCGGAGAACGGAAGCATCAGACTTGGCAAGAAATCCGAGGAAGAGTACAGTGCAAACCAGCTCTTTGCTTTCCGGTACTCAGGGTCTCCCAGAGAGGAAGGCGGGACTAGACTAACGACACTGAGTCCCGCAGACCTGCAACGAAGACCATGGCTCTGAGGCTAAACTGCCTGGTTTAAATCTCTCTCCCTGATTACCAGTTAGGTGATCTTGGGAAAGTTACTTAGCCTCTCTGCCTCAGTTTCCTGAGTCTTCCACAAAGGATTATTGTGAGGATTAAATTACTTGTCTCCTAGTAGGCAGTTTATATGAGACTTAGTTATCATCATGATCATCATCCTCCTAACTACTGAACTATTTGGAATAGTTAAGTTTGCCAATCTCCCTGACAGAGGTTTTAACTAACAAGTTTATCAGTTAACATCAGGATTTAACTGATGGTAGGGTAAAGAAAGATTTCCTAAGCTTTAATAAAAGCAAAGGAAGAAATCACAGAATGACTCCACAGGGCATTCTCAAAGCCACTATATGTAAGTAAAAGGAAAGAAAAATAAGAAAGGGCGAACTAGGAAAAAACTCTTGATGCACAGTATCTGATAGATAAAGAGTTAATACCACTAACATATACAGTGCTCTTACAGAAAATAAGAAAACACTAACATTCAAAAATTGGCAAAGGACATAAAAAGTAAGTTCACAGAAGAAATACAGGGTGGGCGAGATGGCTCACATCTGTAATCCTAGCACTCTGAGAGGCCAAGGCAGGAAGATGGCTTACAGTCAGAAGTTCAAGACCAGCCTGAGCAAGAGGGAGACCCTGACTCTCCGAAAAATAGAAATATTAGCCGGGCATGGTGGCCGGTGTCACTCGCCTACAGTCCCAGCTACTCGGGAGGCTGAGGCAGGAGGATCACTTCACAAAATTTTGTAATGAATATTTTGTAATACAGGTATATTTAGCTACAATTTCCATTTTTCCCTATGTATGGCGACTTTTGGGACACACTGTAAAATCATGTTTTCAGGAAAGGCAATTGATACTAGCTTCTATATAATTTTTCCAATTGGTTTCAGAAAACACAAATGTGTTCATGATGCATGTTTATGCCTGCAAACACCAGGCAACAGCTGGGGAAGCAGGACCCTGCTAGCACTGCCTGCCTCTGAGCAGTGGAAGAAGAACTGGGTGAGATATTTACTTCTTAATTTGCAGGCTTTCTTTTCAGTGGCAGGATTGTGGGTGGGTAGTGTTTTTCAGAATTTTACAAAAAATTAAATGAAGGAAAGTGCTCACCTTTCCCTAGTAAGATGCAAACTGAAATGAAAAACAAAACACGACTGTGTTCACCTATCGCACTGACCAAGATTTTGCAAACAACTGAAGCTGGGGAGGAGGATGAAGTCAGCACTTGCAGATATCACGCATGTGAATGTAAATGGGTACCGACTTTGTGGAAAGCAATCTAGCAGCACACATGAGCAGCCTTAAACAGTTGATACCCTTTAATTCTATTTCTCAACATCTGTAACAAGGATGTATCATCTATAAATCTATAACAAGGATATATTAGGTACACTGGCAAGAGCTATGAATGACATTGTTCATCACAGTTATTCATGAAAGTAAAAAGTTGGAAACAACCTTAAAGTCCAACTTCAGGAGAATGATTTAAATTATAGCACAGCTAAATGATGAAATGTTATGTAACCACTGAAAAAAGTTTTCCTCCTCATATTTATGTTTTTGTAACAATCATGAATTACTTTTCTAGGTAAAAAAAAAAAATCTGCTTAAAAGAAAATAAAAAGCTAGGGCTAAAATTGAGTTTGTGGATTCCAAACCTGGGCTTCAACCTTCCTTGCCAATAAATCTAGAGGAATGTTCCCGACGTACTATATAGACAGATTTATACAATTTTCTAAGCTGCAAAGTTAGGCCCTAAGAATGTGCAAGAAAAATAAACACTGAGCACTGCACTGGGGAATGTGCTTATTGAGAATGACTTTCCCCAAATGAACAATGAAATGGAAAAGTTCACTCATGGGATTTTTAAAGAACAGTTCTACAAAACAGGGAGTGAGTCACAGAGACAGCAAAGAAATGACAAACCACAGCCCCCAAATCTGCACCAAAAAATCCACCTTGGTTGACCCAGTTGGTGACAACCGTGGGCCACAAGGTTCTGCCTGAGTCCTCCAAACCCTGGGACAGGCATGCTTCCTGTGGAACTGGCTGCCACCTCAGGTGCAGATGCCTGTCCTCCACGGCTCACACACCAGACAAGGAGGGAGCACCTCACGTGACTGCTGGGACCAAGTGTAAGCACTGTCTGAGCTCCAGCAATAGAGGTAAAAGGCCCATGCCCTTAAAGAACTAATGGTGAGGACACACAGAGAAGAAAATAACTTGAATACATTAAGAAAACTGCCATCACTAAAGGCCCAATTAAGTCTGGCACGGAGAGCCAGGGAAGACTTCGGGGTTGAGGGCACAGCCTGGAATGGTGTCCACACACTCAGTAGACAGGAGCCAGTGGCAGGACCAATGCCCCTCAGGGCCACCTTGGGCAGAGGGGACCTTGGGTAATCCGTTTCAGCTCCTCCTCCCAGCACTCAAGGCTGTGGCGTCGGCGCTGGTTTCCGTTTCATTGCGGGGCAATGGGTAAGTCTCCACAGCCCATATCAAAAGGATGTCAAGTTCGACTCCTAACTTCATTACCCAAATTAACTGACTTTATTTCTGCTCTTGAAAGCACCTTTAGGCCTAGATTTTTGTACGTCTGCTATACCTGCACCCTCAGCACGTCAACACTACCCCCGCCACCCCAGGTTCAGACCCGGGCGCCTGTCTTCCCTCTGCATTACAACTCAGAGAATCCACGTCTAACCGCCACAGGGATAACTCCCAAATCTCAGGTTTCAGGCCTGACTTGTTCTGGACACTCTACTTCTCTATCTCCTGCTGTCTACCACACGCATCACTTCAAAGTCCAGCCACCCCTCTCACTGGTAATGATCATCATACCTGTCACTCTTTGGGACTTATTACTTGTCAGTACTTAGTAAGCGCTGCCATTCTAAAGCAATTCTCACATTAACCCATTTAATCCTCACAACCCTCTGAGGTAGGTGTACTACTAATAATCCTCACAACCCTCTGAGGTATTAATAATCCATTGATAACCCATTAATAATCCTCACAACCCTCTGAGGTAGGTATACTATTACCATCCTCATTTTGCAGGAGGAGGAAACTGCGTTGTAAGTAACTCGCCCAGTGTTACAGAGCAAGTAAGTGATATGCTGGATTGGAACCCAAAAAATCTGGCTGTAAAGTCCATGCTCTTAACTACAACACAACATTGCTCTGACAGATATAAAAATGAGCTTGTCACATACATCAGAATCCCCCACCTTGTAATCACCTAGGCTTTGAACCCTGGAGCTATCTTTTGCAAATGGCAACGTAAAAAAGATGACTCCTCTCCTTTATGCAATTTAGTGCTAAGAAGTTCTGATGGTTTTTCTTCTAAAATGTCTCTCATTTACTCTTCCTATCCTGTACCCCTGGCTCCTGCCCAAATAAGGCCTTGATTATAGCATACCTCCTGCCAGAGCAGCAGCATCCTTGTTAGAAAAGACCTGGTATCTATTTCTTCCCCCTCCAACTCAGTCTCCACACACTCAGGCTAATCTTCCAAAAATGGATCATTCTCACATTCTTTCAAACATTTACTAATCTGGTTCTATTTAGCAGGCATCCTGCCAGTCTTTGTGAAACTGAACTGAAAAATACCCAATTATTACCTTCAAGAAGATCACAGCCTCCAGGTTGTTTCCAATTTATTACCCACCCTCCAATCCTCTCCCCCACCCACCACCCCCTACCCAATTCAGGAACCTTCAATAGCTCTCCAAGATTTGCAGTAAGGTCCCAAAAGTGGCAACCCTCAGGCCAAATCCTCCATAACAATGCTTTGTTTAGACAAACATGCTTTTAAAAATTTTGATTCTGCAATTCCTTAGCAGCCAACTTTTCTCCAGTTCTCTACACTCACCTACGCCACCATTTGTGTTTCCCACTGAGATCCAATGAATAAAGTCTAAACTTTTAATCAGCATTCAAGGGCCTTCCCAGTCTGGTTAAGATCCTGACCCTTCCCTCCCATTACTTCCCAACAGGTGGCTTCTTCTCAATCAGATGACTGAAGCCTGCTCCCAATGCCTCAATGGTGCCTCCCCTCTGGGGGGCTCAGAGGTGCCTGCTGCCCACCTTCCCTCTTTGCTTTTCCACAGCCACCTGCACAAGTTTCTACCCACTCCAGGAGCTTCCCAGACCACTGCAGCCCAAGTTGACTTTTCAATCTCTGAAATCCCTCTACTGTCTATTAATTTTGGAGCTTAATTACACAGAAATATCTTGCCTTTCTCAACAAACCACAAATTCCCAGTTTGGATTACCTGTCACATACTTGTTTTTGTATCACTTCCATTTTATATAAACAAAAAATCCATATTTGCTATAAAGTTTAAGCAAAATGAAGCCATATAAAATAAAAAAAGGAAAAAGAAATCATCCTAAATCCCGCCACTCAGAAATAACTGTTCTCCCACTGATTATTTCACAAACCTATTTTTAAATATTTTTCTATGAGCCTACACACATGTAAGGATGGCAGGAGAGATAACAGGAATAATTTATAACACTGGAACTATATATAATTCTTAAATAAAAATTTAAGGCTCAATTTGATATGAATTTATCCTAAGAAAAATAAAGTAGAACCAAGGGAACTGCCAGTTTTCAAGTAATTGTTTCTTTTACATGTGATATATTAATTCCTTAAGGATCTAAGGTTAGGAAAAAGATTGTAAAAAATATTTTCTTAAATTTTAACTCTTTCAAATTACATGTTTCACTTTTACATAGTATTGTCTACCAAGAAAGACTAAAACAAAAACTTATTTTCACCTACTTCTCAATCCCAACTCCTGCTCCTGTTTTTTGCACATTGTATTAATAATTTTACTTTGTTAAAGTTTTAATATTTGCAGCCTATTCTGAAGTTATAACTGCCAATTGTTTCATCTTTCTGGATATAAAATGGATTGAAATCTCAACAACAGATCTTTATTATGACTTCTGCAATCTTGAGTCCTTATTTTAACTCCTATCTTGGTTAGCTCAATTTCATTAACTTGATTTTTCAAGTAAGCCTCATGAGTTCATTTGTGTTTAAGGATGTCTGCCTGTTGCCTTTGCACCTGCATATCAACTTCAAAGGACACAATTGTTCTCTACTCACATTTCCATTCTCTCAATGACATTGTTCTATTTTCTAGCATTAGGTATTCCTATGGAGAAATCTGACGCAAGCTTAAGTTTGTATTTCCTGACTTTCCTTTGTCTGCACGACTCTTTTAAAGTTCAATTAATTTAACTAGAATGTGCCAATGCCCATTATTATGTATTGATTTGTCCTGGTATACAGTGTTCCCCTTTGATCTGCAAATTTAGTTCTTCCCTCAAATCAGAAAAAAAATTTTTTTTATTTCATCATATTATGGGGGTACAAATGTTATTAAGGTTACATATATTGTCCTTGCCTCCCCTCCCCAAATTTTCTGCTATTATATCATGAATACTTTTTTGATCTTTTAGAGAGAAGATGATGATAGATATGAGGACAAAGACGGACAAAGAGTAATCCAACTCAGCTAGAGTATCCCCTGAGATATAGATGCTGGGTGACAATTAGGCAGAAGGACTATAGGATCTGGTTCTACTCTGCCACCGTTCCCTAGGAGTTAGCCCATTTGCTTAAGAATAGTTTGTCTTGGCCGGTGCGGTGGCTGTAATCCTAGCTCTCTGGGAGGCCGAGGCGGGCGGATTGCTCGAGGTCAGGAGTTCAAAACCAGCCTGAGCAAGAGCGAGACCCCGTCTCTACTATAAATAGAAAGAAACTAATTGGCCAACTAATATATATAGAAAATCGCCGGCATGTGGCGCATGCCTGTATCCCAGCTACTTGGAGCTGAGACAGAAGGATTGCTTGAGCCGGAGTTTGAGGTTGCTGTGAGCTAGCTGGTGCCACGGCATCACTCTAGCCTGGGCAACAAAGCGAGACTCTGTCTCAAAAAAAAAAAAAAAAAGAATAGTTTGTCTTGAGAGTCAAAAACTATCTGGTTTCTCTAAAAGTTACCGCATATATTGCCTATATAATTATTAATAGAAGATAATCAAAACTTTCTGAACAAACACATCAAACTCAACAGTTATCAGTATGGATTCAAATGCAGTGAAAGTATGAAATACACATGTTCACTTATTACAGATATTTGCATTCTTAAGCCCTAAAAATGGGTTTTGCTCTTTTTAGTAGGCAAGAAGAAAAGGAATACAAACCTCCACTGAAGGTATGTCCTGCTTCTCAGAACATGTGTCTTCTTTAGATGCTTTGTGAATCTTCTTTTCTGAAGAAGACTTTGCTTCAACCTTTTTCAAAGTTTCACAATTATCTACTTCATTCTTGGCAGGCACTTGCTGGTTATTCCCTTGAACAAACAAAAACAATTCAATTTCTAGCTAAAAACTGCCGTTCATATTCCCCATAGTTAAACTTCTCTCTTATGCCAAACATCTCATTTGATTTAATGAGATTTAAACTTAAGGATTGTTTTTGACATCCCTGATGCTCTAGAAATTTATTTTGTTTACAGGTGAAAATGCACTTAAGAGTTCTACAAGTAATCTTTAAAAGAGATCAAGGGCCAGGAGTGGTAGCTCACACCTGTAATACTGGCTAGCACTCTAGGAGGCTGAGATGGGAGGAATGCTTGAGCTCAGGAGTTCATGACCAGCCTGAGCAAGGGCAAGACCCTGTCTTTACTAAACATAGAAAGATTAGCTGGGTGTGGTGCATGCCTATAATCCCAGCTACTCAGGAGGCTGAGGCAGGAGGATTGCTTGAGCCCAGGAGCTTGAGGTTGCTGTGAGCTACAACGATGCCACTGCACTCTGCCACTCTACCCATTGCACTCTACCCGAGTAAGAGTGTCTCCAAAAAAAAAAAAAAAAAAGGTCAAGGAAAAAAAGTGGGAGGAGGACACCAACACTCATTGCATCATTATTCATATTAAACAAAATTTGGACAAAATCCAGATGTCCACTGATGGATGGATGGATAGATAAACAAAATCTACTATGTATGTATTCCATACAATGGCATACCATTCAGCCTGACTCACTAGATAACAATGTGAAATATTTAACACTACTGTACGGTTAAAAAAGGAATGACATTCTGACACATGCAAAACATGGATGAACCTTGAAGACATTATGCTAAGGGAAATAAGCCAGACACAAAAAGACAAATGGCTTTATCCCTCCACCTATGGGGGACTGAGGCCAAATTCACAGAGACAGAAAATAGAATGGTGGTTACTAGGGGCTGAGGGAAGGGGGTAATGGGTATTTATTGTTTGGTAGGTGCAGGGCTACTGTTTGGGATGATGAAAAAGTTCTGGAAATGGATAGTGGTGATGGTTGCACAACAATGCGAATGTACTTAATGCCACTGAACTTTCTAATTAAAAGTAGTTTAAATATGGTAAATTTCATATTATGTATATTTTAGCACTTTTTTTTAAAGTGCTGGAAAAAAAAGCACTTTTTTGGGGAAGAGGGAGAGAGGGATAAGGACTTGGGTTTCGGTCACGACTCAGCCACTGATTCGTTTTATGATCAAAGTAAGTCTCTTAAGCTGCTTGTGCCTTAGCGTCCTGATTTATAAAATGAGCAAGGCTCCACCTTCCTTGCCTACCCTGCTTGACAGTCACAAAGATGAGAACAGAACAGACGTAAACGCAAAGCATCCCCCAAAAGGACACATGAACAGCTTCAGGGAAGGTCTTCCCCTGCACAGCAAACGCCGGCCCCGCGCCAGGGAGCAGCCCGCCACCGCGCCAGGAACAGTCAAGGAACCATGTGGCACAGGCGGATGCTGGTAGGAAAACTTTTCTGAGAACACGGTTTTTCCATTTTTCCTTCAAGTGATTTCTTAAGCGTACTTCTATCTCTCACCTCACAATAAAGGGCAATCAACTCCAACCCCACAGTAACCAGCCTTGGTTTTCTAATTTGGAACAGAAAGTATTTCAATGTCTTCTCCCTTTTTCTTTAACTGAGAATCCCTCACAACACCTTTGAAATCTGAGAAGGTTCACAAGGCCACAGTGCAAGTATTTCCTAGCAGAGGGGGCTGCAGGCTAAGGCGGGCGGGACAGCTGACCAGATGGCGGCGGCAGAGCCCTGCTGGGGCGCTCGGACAGGGCGAGTCCCCCACCCGCTGCCTGAACGGAGCAGTCAAGTCCCCTCTGAGTCTGAAATTCCAAAGCTACAAACTAAACTCACTCAGGAGACATAAATTTTCCAAACGACACAAGGTAAACATACTTTCATGCTGTTAACAGAAAAAATATTACATAAATATCAGTAACTAGCAAACTGCTGGGTGAGCTCATGGCACACATCTCATAAAGCCACGCTGGCTTTTAGGGTGCAAGCACAACTTGGCGTGTCATGTCTTATACTTTCAGAAAAAGAGGCCCTATCTCAAAATTAATTTAAGGTAATATTCTCCAAATATCATAAGATGAATACAGAAAATTAAATCTTTTTGCTAGACTCATTACAGAAAATAAAATATTATGGGATGTTTGAATGCCTTTGGCTATGATGAAACAGACTTAAAACTGCAATGGTCAAAGTGGTATCCAGAGAAAAATCTGATCGCTATCAACTGGGTATTCCTTTAATACCCAGGAATAACTGTAACAGTAGAGTCAGCAAAGAATCTGCATCAAAGGCAACTAAGGAATTTCCGTCCCTATAGGACAGTCAACCATCTGCCTGCCGGGTTTAGAGCTGCCTTATTTAGAGGACTCCTGGGACACAGCTTTCAAACCTGCGCATTCCTCAACTAAGAGCATCTACCAGCAGCCCTGTAGAATCATTGTTACCCCCCATTTCATAAGCTGTCAAAATTAAAAGTCACTCTTTAGCAGAGAATGCCTTTGAAATGTAATTTCTTCTACAACACAAACTGCATGTTCAACATCCACAAAGGAAAACACCAACCACTATGAATGAGTAAAGCAAACAGCCAGAGCAAGGCTGATAGGATTCCTAACAGAAAAAGAAACCATGAATAAGGATTATCGCTTAGGATTCTGGAAGCCATAAATATGAAACAGAATACAGATACCGTCCTCAAAAAATAGGTGCCATTGCTTTCTTAGCATCCTAATTTGTGAGAAAATAGATTTCCTTGAGTTTTCTTCAGGGCAAGAATACAGCACTGAAAGTATGAGGCATCAAAGTTTCTTAGAAAGGATCCAAATTTAACAGCCAATACAAAACCACCCCCCAAAAATAGTAAAGCACAGACTTTTAGAAAATTAGTAATAATGCTTTCTTTGGGGCCAAGAGTCAGGATAACAATAAAAAGAATGTTAGTAACAAGTTTTTTGGTGATTCTTTCAGAAATTCTTACATGAAAACATTCAAGAATATGGAAATACTGACTATTTAACTTACTTTCTTTAAAAATGGAGCCAACTTATGTCATCCTATTAAGCAAGCAGCTTTCCCATGACCTCACAGTCAGAGTGTTTGTGCCACAGTTAAAAATCAGAAACAAGTGGAAGAAACAATAACAGAGGGGACAGGAGAAAACGATGAGAGGTGACGAGTATGTTTACAGGTGCCAATGGTCTCACGAGCTATACTATACGTGTTCCCAAACTCATCAAGGTATACACATTAAATACATTTAGCTTTCTTCCTCCAAAAGGTCATTAAAATAGAAAACAAAAACTAATCAAAGAACAAGGGAACTTGCCAGCATTCTGCCTCAAGTTGTACTGTCTCAGATCTAATCACGTGGTATATTTTGAGTAAACCATTAGATCAGATCTCCATTTCAAGTTATTAGTATGTATAAGTAAATGAGAACATTGTTTGAATTTCTGCAAATACTCGTAGTTTCAGAAAGTTGGGGTATCTAATTCAGTGAAAACTTTTAGGTATTGTTAAGTTCGAGGCTTAGAGTATTATTAAATTGAAAAGTCTATTACCCTTTACTTTATTATAGGTAGAAAGCAGAGAAATAATTTGCTATTTCTCTTTGGCAGTGCCAAGGCCAACCACAGCCTGTCTTTAGCCATAACTCTAAATCTGTATTATTTTGATCAGACAATTAAAACAGTTACAAATGTTTAAAAAGAGATATATTTCAAAAGGTTGCTTACATTTACAAATAAAGCCCTACTACCCTTGTCAGATGATCAAGAGATTCTGGAACATGTAACAAATGTTTGAAACATTTAGCTGTTTCATAGTTGTTTGACAGGTTGATGCCAAAAAACAAGTGTGGGAAAACAGAGCCCTGAAGAATCTGTCAACAGATTTCATTTCTAACAGAAATTGTAGTTTATGATTTACTACAGACCCCTCGCTCGGAAGGAGGCAGTGGGAAAGGGGTGGGAGAGGGACAAGGCACATTTTCTGTTATTCAGAAAACATTCTGTTTTTTGACAAGAAGAAGAATATAGTCAGAGAAATATACCCTGGAACATTCTCCTCTCACACAATAAGCTACACTCAGGAGGCAAAAAAAGCCTCAGAACAGGAGAAGGCACCATTCTTCAGGTCTGCAGGAACTCTGCTGGGTTAGAAAAATCACTACAGTACTCTTAAGGATCGGGGGGCTGCCCCCCAACCCCGCCTTCCCTGTTAAAGGCAATCTTCGCACTAAAATTATTTCTACAGAACGTCTGTATACTTTGGGAGAAATGGCTAAAATGTGGCAAACCCATTACCTGGTTTCAACTGAGTGAGTGGAAGTTCCCAATTCCACTGGGCCACACAGTAAACAGTGACAAGAATTCAGGATCCTCAACTATCGGGAGCGCTAAGCTCAGCTCACAAGCCTGAAGCCGTTTCCTTCAGATTCCAGAAAGGATCTTACCATGGCAACAGCAATGCTTTGCACAAAGTAAAACACTTTCCAAAATTAAAAAAGAATGAATTCTCAAAGTTGGAAGTGAAACTCGGAAGGCTCTTGTCTACACAGTTTTCTCATTCTTGAGCGTCCTTTCTATAGGTCTGTTTGCCATCTGCCCAGTTCCTGTGGTGCTTTCCTTTGAAAACTGACCAAAGAACCCAAAACCTTTAATATCGCTAGGAAACTCTGAATCCTACCTTCAAACTACAATGATCTTCTCCTAGATTTCTCAGTCCTTTCTTATTTTTAGTATTTTCAATTCTTTACAATTTTTAAACTGTAAATGGGTGGCAGGCTATTTATTCACTTTTTAACAACTTTGATAATTTTCCTAGAAGAGTGTTGCGAACATAAAACAAAACGCATGTCAGTGAATGGACTTCCCTGAGAGGAATCCCCTGCTGCAGTCTATAAGAAGTACAGGACTATAAGCGCCTTGGAATCTGCTGGTCTGAACATGTTGGAAAGCCAAAGTTTTGTCATTAACTCTTATTTGATCTGATCAGCAATCATCCTGACATCATTTAACATACTGCTGATCCAGTCAAAAAGTAGTTTGTTTGTTTATTTATTTTGAGACAGAGTCTCACTTTGTTGCCCAGGCTAGAGTGAGTGCCATGGCGCCAGCCTAGCTCACAGCAACCTCAAACTCCTGGGCTCAAGCAATCCTGCTGCCTCAGCTTCCCAAGTAGCTGGGACTACAGGCATGCGCTACCATGCCTGGCTAATTTTCTCTCTCTCTCTATATATATATATATATATATATTAGTTGGCCAATTAATTTCTTTCTATTTATAGTAGAGACGGGGATCTTGCTCTTGCTCAGGCTGGTTTTGAACTCCTGACCTCACTGACCTCAAGCAATCCGCCCTCCTCAGCCTCCCAGAGTGCCAGGATTACAGGCGTGAGCCACCGCGCCCGGCCCAAAAAGTAGTTTAAAAAAAGTCTTGCAGTGAAAGATTTGTCTCCATGTAAAACATTATAAACATACTAGTAATGTGCACAGGAAGGAAAGATCGTGAGCAGGTTTACCATGTACAATGATATAAGCAAATCATATGCTTATGGACTCCCATATCAAATTGACTCATATTTATTCAACTGTTATTACATGGTAATCTTGGCTCAGTCTTGAAGTCTCCTCTGGTCCACTCTGACGCTCCCTATCTGGCCCATGCCTCTACGTTCCAATCACTTCAACATCCCATGACGTGGCAGAAGTTCCCTCCATCCGTCTACCCACAACGCCACGGGCACTGCATTGTGCAGCCACCTTTAGCCGATGGACACAACAGATCACAGAAACAGCACTTCAGGCGGGATGAGTCCCTCAAACAACTCTCATTTCAAGGTGTATAAAGTCAGCCTATGTCAAAGGCTGTGCTCAGGCCGAAAGACTCACAAAACAACAAAAAAGTCCAGCCAGGACTCACTCCATCATCTTATCCTTTCACAAGCGTTTTGTAGTCTGGACCCCCGAGAGTGTCTGGGACAGAAATAGAACAACAGGCACCCAAACCACCCCACCCTAAAATGCCCGCAGACATGGTATGCCATGCTTTGATTTGAAGATCTGGTTAACTGCATTCTCCAGGGGACATACTCACATGCCATGCAGAGGAGACACAGGGCACAGTGTCAACCTTGCAGACCTGAGTCCACTTCAAGTGTGCACACGGCTGCCAGGGGAAATGGCACAAACAGGCTGGCACTAGGTGCACCAAGAATGCACGTGCAGCTGCCCAAACCACAGTCCACCCAGAGGATTCCAGCTCTCTTTTTAATTAGCAATGTCCTTTTACAGAATGTTTAAAATTCAGTTTGGGTCTTTAACAAATGCATAAAAGCTCATCAGAATTAGTCAATCCATAGTATTGCTGTACCTTCTCTACAATATCAAGAAGTAAAAAACACAAAATTATTTATATTTAGATATTTCAAATAAGATCAAAGCGACTAAGTTTTTCCAGATTAAAAAGTGTCAAAAGCCGGGCGCAGTGGCTCACGCCTGTAATCCTAGCACTCTGGGAGGCTGAGGCGGGCGAGGTCAGGAGTTCGAAACCAGCCTGAGCAAGAGCAAGACCCCGTCTCTACTATAAATAGAAAGAAATTAATTGGCCAACTAATATATATATATATATAAAATAAGCCGGGCATGGTGGTGCATGCCTGTAGTCCCAGCTACTCGGGAGGCTGAGGCAGAAGGATTACTTGAGCCCAGGAGTTTGAGGTTGCTGTGAGCTAGGCTGACGCCACGGCACTCACTCTAGCCTGGGCAACAGAGTGAGACTCTGTCTCAAAAAAAAAAAAAAAAAAGTGTCAAAAATTGGACTTCTAACAGGTCCAGTAATGTGCATATTAAAATAGGATGGACAAAAGAAAAATAATATAAATAAGCACAGGCCCTTATGCCAGAGGCCAAAGGGACTTGTGAAAGTATAAATGACAATTTTATATGTAGGTAGTCTTCCTAGTTCTACTTTTGCTTGCATTTTCCTTAACTATATTTGCTACATGAGAACATGTGTCTTCTTTTAACCAAGGAATACAATGAGAGAAGAACCAGGGCCAAGCAGCATGAGATGGTGGCAGCTATTAAATAAAAAAATTGGTGAAGTTTTGTTTGGTCAGAATCATTTCATGGGCTGGTTAATTTTTGCAAACAGTCTGAAAACCCAAGATAAAAAAAAAAAAAAAATTAGGAAAAGGTGCCTCTATCCTCCCAACAATAAAACATGACATTCCCATTCCTCTAAACTTATGTACTAAAAATCAAACTTCCTGGGTGCCTTGTCTTAAAACTTTTCATTTTACAAGTCACGTATCAACATTTACCCCTTTGCTAAAAAACTCTGTGCATGAACTAAGAAACTCAGCATCCATAATTAAAACTGAAGGCCACAGGTGAGAACAAAGTCCATTAAAAACAGACTGGGGACACACGGGAGAGAAGCAGCATCAAGGAGGGTGGAAAGATTACCATTATTTTTCCTGGAAATTTCTGGCAAGTCTGACTGGTGGTAATGAGGTGGGTTTCTCGGCAAATGATTTTCAGGTAGTTTCTTAGAGGTCTTCAGTGGACAGAGCTCCCGTTCCTTGAGCTCAGCTGTGTTCCCTGAAGTTTTAATGTCAGTTTCCTTAGGAAACATACATGTCTGTATTCCCTCCTTCACGTTACAATCTGAAGAAGGATTATGGGCAACAACTGTGTTTTTCAGTGTGTTTTCTTCTTTGTTCAATAAGTTTTTGGGAAGGGTTAAATTCTTCTGCAGGTTGACATTCATGCCACTGGCATATTTGAGGCTGATCCAGTTCTCCCCCATGACGTCAGCACAAACATCCTCTTTAGCAGCAGACAGGGGGCTTCCCAGGGTCGAAGTCTGCTTGTCCTCAGTAGTAGTGTTGGAGCTGCTGGCCACAGAGGTGCTGGGTTTATGTTTACTGTAATACACTGAGCACTTGTGCTTCTTCTGAGAATGACCATAGGTAGCTGGGCTCCTCTTGGCAGCATTCTGGATCCTGCTCTGGGGAGTGTTCACGGGAAGGCAGCCTTTCCCTCTGCCTTTATCAGAGGGGCCATATGTATCGAGAAAGTTCTTGCAATTGCTTCTGAATTGAAGAAGAAAAACATTTAGCATAAAGGCAAACCAAATCAAACTCTGCTTTGTTTCTACATCCACGGGGAAGAGATAGCAGTCAGTATTGTGTGTACTAAGGAGTTCTCCCTTCCCTTCTCCTAAAGCTCCTGGGGTTTTCTGCCAGGGAGGACATCCAATAAACTGAGTCCTTATAAGGAGACTATCTTATAATAAATGGGGCAGCTGTTCACACGACGACTCAAAAAAAAAAAAAAAAATTTAAGAACACAAATTTAGAATCAAAAGTTGGATTACCTTACAACAAAATCAGAAATGAGTAATATCAAAGGTGAGAACACCCCTACACACACACACACACACACACACACACACACACACAGATTCTTACTTGTGAGAGTGGGAGCTGATTATATCCATTGGACCGCTATTTTGCTGTGATGAGGAGCTAGCATTTTGCCTCTGTCTTGTTTTCATGAATTCCATAAGAATGTACTGTGCTTGTTGGAAGGCTATTAAAATCACACCCAACAGAGACAAACTAAGAAAGGAAGCATGAGGTTCATTAATGCATGGTTCTGCCTGGAATTTAAAAGACTAGTTTTATTACAGAAGAGTAATGAATGATTGATGGGAGACATCTAAAGATACAGTATTAAAATTCCCTAAGATTTATGCCATCATAATTTTTGTTCCTTAAAAATAAAAAAAAAATACCACCCAAATGTGCATATTTATGAGTTGGACATTACAATTCAATTTTTATAAAATCACTCAAGGCTGGGCGCAGTGGCTCACTCCTATAATCCCAGCACTTTAGGAGGCCCAGGCAAGAGGATCACTTGAGGCCAGGAGTTCAAGATCAGCCTGGGCAACATAGCAAGGCCCCATCTCTACGAAAAAGTTTTAAAAATTAGCTGGGCATGGTGGCACACACTTGTAGTCCTAGCTACTTGGTATTTGGGAGGCTGAGGCAGGAGGATGGCCTCACTTGAGCACAGGAATTCAAGGCTGCAGTGAGCTAGGATATCACCACTGCACTCCAACCTGGGTGACAGAATAAGATACTACCTCCTTAAAAAAAAATTTAAAACACTCAAAAAATGTCATTCTAGCCTTCTAATCTCAAACTGTCATTGCACCAAGCTAATAAGAATAACTAACATTCCTGTCTTCCACCAAGACTGCCAATGAACATACTATATTTGAAGCACGATTGTCTACTATTCTCCTACAGTTCTATGACTCTCTTATAATGAGTCCACTGTCACCTTAAAGCTTACCAGTTACTACCTTGTATACTTCACACATGTCAAAGTTCTCAATGCAATAAAAATCCCACTCAATTCATATGCTTTGACCACACTTGGGCAACTTGTGTGTTTTCATGCAACTCGCCTGGATGACTTCTCTACCCAGAGAAGAACAGTGGAGGAGGTGGCTTACCTGACAAAAAAGACTGTGAGCCTCCAAAATGACTCCTCCCAGCTGGGTCCTGGCACCACATTTGCACATAAGGGCAACAGGTGATGAGGTAGGGTGACATTGAGAGTGAAGTGAAATTCTAGGTCTGCTGCAGTTACAAGAGTTAGGTCACGAATGACCCAGGAAGATGTAAAGTCTGGAGTAAATCTGATAACAAAAGATTCATCTTCATGAACTTTTAATTGTTTTAATTTCAGTCTCACAAAGCAATATAATTATAATGGCAACACAATTTTCTACTTCTACAAAACAGATACCTTTACTACTTAAGGTGTCTTACCGATGGAAAAAGGTCCCCCCCCTCCCACCCCACATTATTAAATGCATCACAAAACTGAAATGAAGTTAAAGCCCAATGCTTACACGATGCTGATATCACGGGATGCGTTTGGGTCCAGGGAAAACTGATGACAATCTAACACTTCAAATCCATAACCTTGGCAACTATACCCATTAATTTTCAGAGATGACACAGTTACAGGAAGAGGTCCAATATTCTCAACTTTAAAGCTCTTTGTAATAGATAACATTTGCTTGCTGTCTTTCGGTTCTAGTGAGGACAAGAAGTGGTATTCAGTATATATGAACTATAAAATTTATTTTAAATAATTTATCGGATCAATATTTATTGAATCAACCAAACCATGATCTACATTATTAAAATGGGGAAAAAATTCCACATAAGCTCAAAGTACGATTTCTATCTAATTTCTAGAACAATTATAGATGCTGTTACACAACCAGGATACAACAGAGATACTTAAGTCGTTGAGATTTTTCTTAAGTTACATGCTCTGCCTAGGTACCTCAGAATCTCTTCTTTGGGCCTTTACTTATTGAAGGTTAAGGTTAAAAGTTTATTCTTCTCAGAAGCCAAAGAGTTTGGCTTTACCACTGGCCACCAAATACTCGGTGCCCTTGAGATTCTCACTCATATTGAACCAAGTGCCAGTTAAGAACATGTGCTTCTGTGTGTTGTCATCACAGCTACTAGAAACACAGTTCAAACACCCACTATACTAAAAAGAAGTGATTAAATCCTTACAAATAAATAACAGCACATTTTATACTGAGAGTTTGAAAAAAGAAGTTATGACAACTTATAAATATCCCCATAAATTTATAACCCATAATCTATTCCATATAAGAACTAATATTTTATCTGGTTCTATATTTTTATATTACTCCTTAATACTATGATCCAAAGTCAACTCTAAATTACCAAATGAATGAATGGAAAAATGAATACCCTGAAGAATATTGAATGCAAAACTATCACCAAATCTTTTCAAACTCAGAGCTCATTTGGCATTTTCTAAAACAAAAATATTCCAATCAGGCACTAAAATAGCTCTACAAATTATCCAATAGTTTCACCAACTAGTTTCCTCTGTAGAAAACATATCACTGTTTTCAGTGTTTTATTAAAATTAAAAACTAATAATAGGAAAATGAGACCAAATTTACCAAAAACATTTTACATCTATTGTTTGATTTCTATTTTAATTGCTGAGGAAACTGTTGAAACTAATATAGGTGATTTAAAGGCATTTAATTTAAATAAATGCATAATTTATAAATCTTCTAGTGCAATATCTCATTATATTTCTAAGTCTACATTATCTGATACCATTAGCCATATGTGGCTATTTAAACGGATTAAAATTAAATAAATTTAAGAACTGAATTCTTCAGTTTCATTGTTTTCCTTAACAAAAAAAAAATAAAAATAAATAAAAATAAAAAAAAGAACTGAATTCATCAGTCACATTAGCTATTTCAAAGGCTACTTAACCACATAAGACTCACAGATACTGCACTGGATGACACAGATACAGAATATTTTCATCATCACAGAAATTTCCATTTAATCTACTCTCCAACATTTGAGTGTGATTTCCTATGATTAAGGTAACTGACAGCTAACTTAACTGCTTCATATATTTATCTTAAAAATTTCACGCTACAATTACATTTTCTTTTTTCCCCTCTCCTCTATTATCTAAGTTTGAATTAAATATCTAAAGCTGTTGTTCTAATCCAGGGGTACAAGCCTGTATTATATGCTCAAATGTTGGCCGGATTTAATTATTTGCATCAATACAACGAATTTACTTGTAAATTTTTAGAAGAATCTCCTGATAGAAGCCTTTTGCCCTTGGCTTTACTGCCCAGCCTTCCCTGCCGGAGTGCCACCCTGTGAACTCACGTCGACGGCAGTCCATCAGCGTGGACTCGGGCACCTTAAATCGGAGGGAGCCTCCCGCACCCGGAAGTCTTCCGCCCACCTTCAGTAACTCTCTGGCTCCAAACCCTTCCACGGCAATCATGTCAAGAACAGTCAAGTTATTCCTATGGTGAAAGGAGATACAAACAAAAAGGCATTATTACCACAGAGTGACGATACAATGCACTTGGTTTTAAATATTCTCAGCCAGCAGAACTATTTTTAAAATTTTGTTTAAAAATATCAATTTCAATAGTGTGGCACCTCCTGCCATGGCACAGAATAAGGGCAGGCAGTGGGAGCTGCCAGGTCCAGAAGGGTCACAGCGAGCTGACCACAGCAGGAACCTGGGAGCGACCGTGCTCACTCTCCCTCCACCACCACAGATGTGAACCCGCGCGTTTTTCTAATAACCACGCACCAGGGTGATAATGGTCAGACATCCAAGAGAAAAGAGCTGAAGAGGTAAACTGGAGGACACAGAAAAACACTCACAAATTTAGACAAAATGATGAAAACTTTACAGGATGAATTAGGAGTTTTCACAGTAATTGCGATAAAGTCTGCTTTAGGGATGATTCTAGAAATAAAATTCTACTCTTTCCCTCGAAACAACGTTTTAACACACCACCCCACTGCTAACATATCTAGTCAGATTCTCATCAAACAGTAATTCAGACTAGCGTGTGCCTTTTCATTAATTAAAATCACGATTTCTAGGACAAACAGATTAAGTGAAAATTTTATTTATTTATTAGTTAGTTAGTTAAGACAGGTCTCACTCTGTTGCCTAGGCTATAGTGCAGTGGCATCAGCATAGCTCACTACAACCTCATTCTCCTGGGCTCAAGTGATCCTCTTGCCTCAGCCTCCAGAGTAGCTGGGACTACATGTATGTGCCACCATGCTGAGCTAATTTTTCTATTTTTTGTAGAGATGGAGTCTCGCTCTTGGTCAGGCTGGTCTCAAACTCCTGACCTGAAGCAATCCTCCCACCTCAGCCTCTCAAAGTGCTAAAATAAAAAGTGTGAGCCACTGTGCCCAACAAAAATGATTTTTAAATGATGCATTCTGGACCAAAAGCTAGTTGTCATAACATAAATACTATAGAAGCAGAGAGATCATTCATTTTACTTTTATATAATAATTATGCAAAATACAGGTGTATACATACATACATACATAATGAGTGAGATGTGCACCATCTGGGGGATGGTCACGTTGGAGACTCAGACTTGTGGGGGGAGGGGGGAAAAGGGCATTTTTTTTTAAACCTTAAAATTTGTACCCCCATAATATGCCGAAAAAAAATAAAAAAATAAAAAAGCCTCAATACATCAAAAAAAAAAACAACCCTTTATTTAACCATTTAAAAGCCTTTCAGTGATACAGCATTAGATGACTGATACTATTTACCAAAATGGAAACTACCAAAAGTAAATTAACTTCTGTACAAAATTCAGACTTTCTTTTCAAGTCTGGGATAGTTCAACTTGGGATGAGGTAAAGTTTATCTCTGCACTTCCTATGACCTTAGTTCTTCAAGGAAGAATAGGATTAAAATTAAACACATTAAGTCAACAGGGCATTAGGGATTTGTAGTTAAAATGTTTAAGAGAACACACTCTCTTAAGAACTTTAACACATTTTCTCCTTATTAGCAGTCATTTGCAGAATAACAAACTCTTACATATTAAAGAAAGTCCTGAATAAGAAATTTTTGCCAGTTCATCTGATACTTTTTAAAAATATCTAAAATGTAATTTATTAAAAATTAAATCTGTGTTAAGACTTCTCACCAATGCAGAGAGTTTCAACATAGACTTGAATTTACTGTGAATTTTTAAAAGAAGGCTCTCAAATTTGGTATATGTTTACAATGGAATATTACTCAATTCTAAGAAATGACAGTGAGCTAGCACCGCTTATATTATCCTGGATTAAGCTTAAGCCCATTATCCAAAGTGAGGTGACACAAGATCAGAAAAATGGGCTCCACATGTACTCACCATCAAATTGGTACTCACTGATTAACACTATGGTGCTCACATGGTGGTGGTGTTCACCAGGGATTCGGGGGTTGGGGGGGCAGACCCACATCTGAGGGATGTGGTGAGCATTGTGGAGGGAAGGGCATACCTCTAACCCTTGCTAGGGAGAGGCAAAGATATAAAATGCAATCAAAACGTTCGTACTTTCATATTATCTTGAAATAAAATAAAAATGAGGAAAAAAAAGAAGGCTCTCAATAAAAACTACTCAAGATGAAAAAAATGTTTAAATGAAACACATTGAGCTGCTCAAATCGGTTGGCAATAACTATCATTTAAAAGAAAGAAAAGCAATAAAAGAGCCAATGGGCTGAAGAAAGCACTTTTCCACTGTCCTTTGGGGCTACAGAGAATTCCAGAAGCAAGAAAGCGTTAAGAGTGATGTGAGTTCATTTAAACACTGCAGACCGGAAATGTCGGCAGGAGTGTTTCAACTGTTTTTCTATGGGAAGGACAGAGAAGTAGACCCACGTGTGTTCTGCCTTCTGTGACAGCACTGGGCGAGACATGGAGTGAAATGTACTGCCCTCTGAGAAACACGGGCACACACTCCCGGTTGGAAAAGGGGGAGGAGACTGAGGCCTGGAGACTAAGGGAGGAGCCTTCGGCAGCCTCTCTCCTCAGCTACCACCTCTTCCTACCCTGCAAAGCAGCCCCATCGCCAAAGACCCGAGTCAGAAGTGAGCGTCAACTATTAGCTAAAGAGATTCTGTATTCTTGAGAGAGAGAAATTTTAGACGGTCAAGGCAGCAGAGAAAGAAACAGACTCGGTGAAGAGGGACACACCTACCGGATTAGTATGAGTGAGGAAACTTTTCCATAGTCAGCAGGGGTGAAAACCACGCCAACCCTTTTCATCTCCAAAGGCTGTAAAAGGAATTGGAGGGTGCCCAGTCTGGACTCTTCGGAACGCACTCCCTGCAAATCATTAACAGATACGGTCAGACAACTTCATACAACTTCATAGTCCCACCACGCAAGCGTCATCATCTCCCAGTGCATCCTACAGGATAAAAAAGCCTGCTTTTCTTTTAATGTCCAGGCTTGACCGTGCTAATCAACCTGTTTGAACTTGTTTACCTTGAGAGTTCACTCTAAGAAACAGCTCCTAAGCCACAGCTGAGGAAGATGGGCAGAGGGGGGATTTGCCTCCTGGTTTGGATGGGAGTTGGGGCTAGAAGCTTTCTATACAAAGAAGCTTTGAATGTAAAATATCAGTCAGAAAACAGACCAAATAGTCTCTGCTCCAATGCTACAGCCGTCTGACAAGACCACCCAACCACTACTGCACAACCCTAAGATCTCTTTATACAAATTCTTTATGTTGAATTTAAGTTTATATAGAAACCATCTTTATTATATTTAGTCTCTCCAGTCAGGAGAAAGATCTTTATTCTTTAAATAAAGATCTTTAATCTATGATCTCTTTCTCTAAATAAGGCTTATCCTCTAAATTTTATATCCAAGATTTAATTCTTTATTTTTGTAGTAAACAAGACTTTCCTTCTTTCCATTGCTTTTTCTCCTAGCTCCTTCTAAGAGCATATTAATTTCTTAGCACTACAATCATATAATCTGAAGAGCAGTATTTCTCTTTCCTATGTTCTCAATGTTTAAATTTGTTTTATCCTTTAATTACTGCTAGGATCTCCCATGCTATCTGAAAGAAATGATGATGGTATTTGCTTCGTTTTCATTAGAAGTATAAACTCCAAGAAAGGAGAAACCCTGCTTTATAAATATAATATGAATATTGAATAAAAAAGCTGCTGACTTTCGGCATTAAAGTGATCGTAACAACAGTACCTTTATTAAATGGTTCTTTATGCCAGACACTGAAATGTTTAAGATTATAAAAAATTCCATATGCTCTTAACCTAAGGAACTATATTTCTACAAGCAACCCCACAAAATGCAGGAAGTCTTTCTTTACATGACAAAGAGTTCTAATAACAATTTTTTAAATTTCAAAATGTTAAGGGGGTACAAATGTTTCTGTTACATGGATACCTTTATAATGCTTAAGCTGGGGCTTTTAATGTGTCCACCACCTGAATAGTGTTCATTGTACCTGACAGGTGGGTTTTTACGCCTCCCTTCCTCTCCCCTTTCTCCTTCTTGATTTCCTATGACCTTTACATCTCTCTGATAACAATTTTGAGTTAAATTCTAAGTGTTTTCAAGGCACTGACAGTGACTATTCTTTCTGTCAATGTAATAAACTAACAATGCTAATAATTTCCCTTATCCCAAAAGGTATAATATTCTTGGGAAAAATCTTCATAGACAAAACATTTTTCCAAATGAGAGGCACCATTTGTTCAAATCCAAATAGAATAAGTATGTGAAAGAAATTGGCATTATTTTGGAATTTCAAACTATAATAGTCTCAATACCAGCGGAACAAAACATCTCTTAGTATTTTGGACTAAGAATCTCGACTGCTTGGTGGAGAGAAGAACAGAGGGACAGTGGCAGGCTCGCTTACAAGAACAAGGCCACACCTGGGTGCAGGGCTTCCCCACCTCTAGAGCTGCCTCGACCACTTAAGAAGAGAAAGGAAAGTGTGCTGGTATAGGCTATCTGTGGGCTCCCTCCTTCTGTTATTCTAGAGCCAACAGTATAGTTTTGGAGGGAGAACAATAAAGGAAGAAGAAAAAATAGTCAAGGCACTTAAATATGTGTATGTTATAAAAATAGAGTTATATGCATGTGTGTTTATATGCGTATGTGCATATTATTTTAAGAGATGCTCCACTTTTGAGTTGATCTCAAACACAAAATACCTGTAAAGCCAACACACAGCTGTATACAAAACAGCTACAGAATAAGTGGAAACTGAGAAATAAGGCTGCCAAGTCCCCAAGCAAACACCCGCACCACAGGACATGTTTACTCCTACTCTTAAGTATTTAGGCAAGAACTCATGATTGTTCAGAGGCTTAAGAATTTTAGAGAAGTCCTTTTTTATACACAATGTGAACATCACAGTAATTGGGTGACTTGCTAAAAACATGAAGACAATTTATTTAACAAGAGAAGATTTTTTTAACGTATTTTTTTTGCCTTATCTTGCCCTGAAAAAAGAATTTGAGAGCCAAGGAATTTTTAAGAGAATTATAAATTCAGAGGTCTCAAGTTTTATGGTTTTCTACATAGCTCTGATTCAATTGTTATTTCTTCACTCACTTTATTCTAAATCATCAAATTAAAATAATTTATAGGCTAACATGAACCTGACTTCTACTGCACTAGTTAATTGGAAAAATCTGCTATGTATCCTTAAGGCCTAGAGAACTAAAATAAAAGAGCCACATATAGTACATAAAGACACTTTAAACATAAATCAATGAGGCCCATCTGCTGATGTATCTGGTTTGTTGGCATTCTGTTTTCTTTGTAAAGATGACATCCTACCTGGTAAGGGCAAGCTTTGGTCAGCTGGAATTCACCAGTTGTGAAATTAATCGTCTGCATATCGATACCAAACCTATAAAAAAATAAGCAAATATTTAAAATAGCATTCAGATTTGCCAAGAAAGATTTAATGATATAAGTGTGTGTATACATATACATTTATACATCATAGGTGAGCCCATGTCTGTGCACATGTGTGTGCGCACACACACACACAGATCCATCCCATCCTGTGACCACCGTGCCCCAGCTCATTCCACACCCACACGTGTCATAATGTAAGTGCTCAATAAATACTGCTGAATGAATGACTTTGGCAGGACAAGATATAAAGAAGCATATGGTGACAAAAGCTCTAAATATGGTATTTTTTTTTCACCAAATGGTTCATAACTATGAAACCCAAAAGGGAGTGACTCCCAACCAACGGCAATTTTACCCCCCAGGGGGACATTTTTGACAATGCCTGCAGACGTGTTTAGTTGCCATGGCTGGCAGGTCCTACTGGCATCCAGTGGGTAGAAGCCAAGGATGCTGCTAAACAACCTTCAATACACAGGACAGCCCCCCTCAAACAGAATCATCTAGTCCAAATGTCACTTATGCTGAAGTCGAGAAACCCCTGGTAGATCTTACTAAACCAAAAGGAAAAATCACTCTGAGTAAAACTGTGATTGTATGAAAATAGGCTGTAACAGACATGAACTAACACTATCGTCATCTCATTTTGTTTAACACTAGGTTAGAACATACTGTCTTTGTATCTGTAGGGTCCAAATCCATGGGTTCAAGCAACCGTGGATGCAGAGCCCTCATTTAAGGAGGGCTGACTTTTTCCATCCATGATTTTAAGGGACTTGAGCATCCATGAGATTTTGGTATCCTTGGGAGTCCTGGAACCAATCCCCCTGAACACACAGAGGGCCAAGTGTACTAAAACATCAAGCTCCTTTCTTGTGTTGCCTGGAGTTCATTGTGATCTAGATTCTAAATTTTAGGAGTACATGTGGAAAATGATGATGATTAAAGGCTCCCTAACTAAACAACGTTCTATCGGGAAGTGGACTTGACAATGGTAACACTGCAGATGCCACATCACACACAGAACCAGGAATTGTCATCCAATCCCACGCACCAAGGGCCTGGTGCCCAAGGTACACAAGCCAATGGGTTAACATGGTGCACACATCCACATACAGGTCCCGCTTGGAAAAAGAGCATGAGTTTAAATCACTCCGAGTAGTTTAAAGGCAATCATTCTAAATAAAAAAAATAAATAAATTAAATAAGTAAATAAATAAATAAATCACTCCGAGTATTAACAGTATTTCCCAAACCGCCCAGCAGAAAGCCTTCATACCATCTGTGCAGCACATGCACTGCAGCTTCGGGTTTCGGGTACAAGGAGAGAGGCAGGAGCTGCAAGGAAACTGGCCAGGAGGACGGGTTCTTTACCATGAAGTACTTCACCTAGGTATGGGAAAAGGAAAGTTAAAACCCTGAGAAGGACACAGCACCCTTCCTAAGATATTCCTGCCAGAAAAGCAGAACCTGAACCTAATTACGAGGAATCATCACAAAACTCGAAGTGAGAAACATCTTAGAAAACAAACAGCCTGCAACGCTTCAAAAATGTCTATGTCATAAAAGACAAAGAAAGGGTGATTTAGTCTCCAAAGGAAGATTTGGAGACTAAAAAGACCTGCTGATGCCATGAGGTCCTGGATTGGATTCTGAACCAGTTTGCTATAAAGTGTAACAGCAGGATCCCTGGGAAAACTCGAATACGGACTGTAGTTTAGGTAACAGCATCATGACGAATGCTACATTTTCTGATCTTAATAAGTGTACTCTGGTTATCTAAGAAAAAGTCCTTAAACTTAAATAATTCACACTGAAACAGAGGTAAGGGGACATGATGTCTGACACTCTCAAATGGCTCACAAAAAATATGTACACGTGAAAAGAGAGAGAAAACAATAAAGCAAGTGTGGCAAACATTAAAAAATTGATTAATCTTTGTGCAGCAACTGGAAGTTCTTGGTACTATTTTTGAAACTTTTCTCTAAGTTGAAATTATTTCAAAGTGAAAATTTAAACAAACCACTAAAAAAGGATGTTATTCCTAAGAAATTCCACGTGCACCTGATATGCCATGCATTCTAACTCAGAGCACGCATGGTGGGTTCTTGGCAATGAGACTTATGAGACATAAATGGAAGTCTGCTGGTGGGACCTCTTTCCCTCTGCCCTTCTTCCTGCCACCCCAGCTGGGCGAGAGGAGCACATATGAGCAAGGAAGCTGACACATTAAGTATAGACAGTGACAGAAAGATGGCACCTGGGTCCCTGATGGCATCACAGAGCAACCTGACTCGCTTTGGACTGCCCTCCTCTGAGAGCTTCTTGTTATGAAAGAAGCTAACTTCTATTTAAGCCACTCAAGATTTTCTGTTGTCTGCAACTGAATACTTTCTTAACAGATACATTTTATATATGGCGTTTACATTCAATTTAGAGTCAGTTTAGAGTTTCACTCCTCATCCAGTTCTTTTGACACCTCTCTACTGAGAGTGATGAACCCTGTATCTGTGTGAATTTAAATTAATTTTGGTTCTGAAATAATTATCTAAAGGTGGAAATACTCTGGCACTTTGAAAACCCAAGAGCTGAGGTGTCAATGACAAAGAGATTAAAAGACACGCTGTTCTTACCACGCTGTTCCTAAGGGCAGTGGCGCTGAAGTTTAACACGAGGCCAGGCTCTGCAACCAAACGAGGCAAGAAGAAAACAAAGGACTCTGACTCCTTGGATTTCTTCAAGTGAGCAAACCGAGTCAGTCCCAAAACATTCCTCCTGTTTAATTGATAAAGAAATTATTATGGAAAGTAATTTTGACATTAAAAAAAAAGAGGAACTCACTAAATACTACTCTCACTAAAAGGAACAAGGGCTCTTGGGAAAATGGCTTATTCTAGGTCAGAGGAAGAGAAAGTACAAGACTGACCCTAGAATGTCCTGTTTTACTAGAAAACGAGGAAGTGGTCAAAGAACGATGGGGATATGTCATAGAGACACACAAGCCAGCAAAATTTGGGACAATTTTTCATCAAAAATAACAATGATGGTAATCGAGTGCAACACACTGACCTAATAATCCACAGTGATACTCAAAAAGAAGGGGTGCTCCTTTTTTTTTTAAAACAGTATCTGCTAATGGATGTAGAATGAACAAAATAATTAGAGACGACATTTTGCAGTCATGAGTCTATAACTGATTCAGTCCTTGGCACAGAACATTCTTAGGGAACAGAAAATTTATATGGTATCAAGTTATCACGCACAGATTATTTATTAATTACAAAAGAAAAAGATATGTACAATGGGAGACCTCTGTAACCTATCACCTAAACCAAATGATCCAACTTAGCAACGCCAATAATGAAACAAATTGACATGTATGTACCTCCTGATGTGATATAACAAAAGACTCAAGATTAACCTAGTTAGTGACTCACATACATGCCAAAAATATTTAACCTGAATGTAAACTGCAGGAAGCAACCAGAAAAATCCAGTATGTGGAATGTTCTATAAGACAACAGGCCTTAACTGTGAAAAACTGTTGAGAAACAAAAATAAAATCCTAAGCATCCCACCAGACTGAACAGACTCCCAGAGAAACCTTAAAACTGAATTCCAGCCATGAAAGGGAGGCCTGACACACCTCATTACACCCCCTTCCCAGCTAACCCTCATCAGCCTTTCTTCCCTAAGGGTCCCACAGCACCAGGTCCTTGGAAAGACCTGCTCCACTGCCAATTTCAACCAGCCACCTGCTGCTGCTCCTCCCTTTTGCCATTTTGCTCTCATTCCTTCCTGATGCCATCGACCTGAGTGGTTCTGACCAGTCTCCGGAAGCTGTGCAGAGAGTCTCTGTGTCCTCTGCTTCACCTCTGGATGTCAGAGGGCTGAAAACTCCACCCTCAGATCATGCTAACCATTTTTTGAACATGTGTTCACATGTTTACATGTGAACATGTAAAGAGGTATGAAACTCAGTTACACATGCCCTTGTTTCTCTTTTCATAAATATTCATGACTCCTCCTAAAGCTTCTTAAATATGTACATTTGGCCACCTGGCTCTGCATAAATTCCTGTTAGTTCCCCTGTTCCCTTTATCCCACCCTCAAAGTGCCTGCTCCTGGCTTCTGCCGATGCTATGCTTCCCAGCCTGCAAGGTGGCCAGCCTGCAAGCTGCAGCCCTTTATGAGAAACACAGCTCTCCTCTCCAGATTTATGAACCTCATCATTCTTCAATGTCACCATAATTAAAGATGAAGAAAGGCGGGAAAATTAGTCTAAAGAAAACTAAGAAAACATAATAACCAAATGCAATGCATGATCCTGGAATAGGTACTGGATTAAAAGAAAAAGAAAAAAACAGCTATAATGAATACTATTGGGCCAATTAGAGAAATGTTAATATATATTATATAATACAATTTTATCACTGTTAAATTTGTTGGGTATGCAATGGTAGTATAGCTATATATAAGAAAATATCCTTCTTAGGAAATAAGAATTTCCTAACAAAGTTTTAAGAGTTGAAGTCTCATAATGAGACTTTCAAATGACTCAGCAAAAAAAAAATCTGTGTATGTGTATACATAGATACAAGTATAGAGAGAAATAAAGTAAAAATGGTAAAATGTGAATACCTGAACAAAATCTAGATGAGGAATATTTGAGAATTCATTGCATTTTCAACTTTTTTGAGGCTTGTCAAAATAAAAAGCTGAAGAGAAGTATCAATCACTAAAAAATTAAGGATCGCAATTTCAATAACGTATTATGTACAGCAGTCCCCCCTTAGCCTCAGTTTTGTTTTAGGGGTGTTTTCTTCGTTTTGTTTTGGTTTTGAGACAGGGTCTTGCTCTGTTGCCTGGGCTAGAGTGCAGTGGTGTCATAGCTCACAGCAACCTCAGACTCTTGGTCTCAAGCCACCCTCCTGCCTTAGCCTGCCAAGTGGATGTGGCTACAGGTGCATGCCACTACACCCAGCTAAGTTTTCTATATTTTATAGAAGGGTCTCTCTTGTTCGGGCTGTTCTTGAACTCCTGGCCTCAAGCAATCCTTCCACCTTGTTTGCCAAAGTGCTGAGATTACAGGCGTGAGCCACCATGCCCAGCCCATTCATAAGTTTTAAACTACATACCATTCTTGATGAAATCTCAAGCCATCCTGATGCACCCTTTCTGGAACTCATGAATCCTTCCTTTGTCCAGAACACATCCATGCTATCTGTATTCCCCATCCATTAGACATCTCAGTTACCAGATCAACTGTCACAGTACTGCAGTTCTTATATCCAAATATCCCTTATTTCACTTTTTGGCTTAATAATGGTCCCAAAGTGCAAGAGTTAGTAATGCTGACAATTCAGGTATGCCAAAGAGAAGTTGTAAAGTGTTTCCTTTAAGTGGAAGGGGGTGAACATTCTCAACTTAATAAGCAAAGAAAAAAATTATATGCTGAGGGTTGCTAAGGGCTATGGTAAGAACAAACCTTCTATTCATGAAATTGTGATGAAGGAAAAAGAGATTCATGCATAGTATATATACAGGGTTCGGTCCTATCTGCAGTTTCAGACATCCACTGGGGGTCCTGGAAGGCATCCCTGCAGATAAAGGGGTACTACGGTAATAGCATCTCCCCACTGCTAGACAAAAGAAATGAGGAAAGGTGAAGACATACTTGCAGACGTCACCATTTTTATATTTCTTCCATCTTTCATACAATTTATTTGCAAGTTCAGAATCCGTATCCCAGGTAGACCGATCCAGAGAAAGGCTCCCATCCCAATTAGGAGTTCCTAAAAGTTAGGCCAGATTCAATATTTAGATATACAGAAGAAACAATTCAATTTGTAAATAATGCCAAGGGCTGACTGCTCAAATTCTTAACTGAAAGGACTATCGAGTGAATAAATGCCACCTCTGTCCTCTGTTGCTTTACTAGAAGTCCCTCTAACTCAATGGCAAATGACATATCAAATTAAACAAACATGTATAAAACAAAACTAAATAGAATTATGTAAAGGTAATAACGCAAAAGACACATGGCTCATGAATACAGCCTGAGACAAGTTAAAATTACACTTGGAACATTTTTAACAGCTTTAAATCTAAAATGCAAAACTGCTTCCATGTAAATGCTAACCATCATCTGAGTCTTTCAGGTCACTATGCACAGTGCAGAGGGACAAGCAGTAATTCTCAAAAAGAGGGCACAGAGCAAGGTAGATCCTCTATAAGGCACATGTTTATAAACTGGTCGATTATTCACCTTATCCTATCAACTGATTCGTTCTGTCTTGCCTATGCTAAAACAGATACTGGAAGAAAATGGGGGGATGTCAAAGAAATTCCTATATTTTAAAGCTCTCCTTAGATTAAATATCTTAATTAATCAAAAAGCAAAAAACCCCAAAAAACCCTCAAGATATAAGAAAGAGCTTCTATATTAACACTGTAGCCTTCAGTCTTATGCCACAATCAGTATCTCCTACAAGATGTTCATGTGCCTACAGCGTAAGTCTTCAAATGCAATTCCAAATTATTTTTACCAGTCAGCTTTTTTGAAATGAAAGAATCAGAATCTTCCAATTGTCCCTATGCCATGGATGCTATGATGATTGAACAATATTATTTGAACAAATTCCTTGCAAAAGTATAAGTTATTATATACTAAATAATAAGGTGGCGTTATTTACACAGGTATCCCAGGTACTTCTGGAAGACTTTTAACAGTTCCAAGTCATCGTGTTAATGATCATGCTCTCTAAGGTTAGAATATGATGCAATTACCTTTACAGAAGTAATTATTCCATCTATAAAAGCTAACTTTCCTCACCACTTCCCACTCCCCCCAAACTAGAGTTCTACAGAAAGCCTAAGGACAAAATACTTACCTGCTTTTGATTTTCCCATGAAATAATGCATGCCACAATGTGCTATCACTTCAAAACCCAGACTCCCTTCCTAGATTGAAAAGTAATATATGAATAACTTAAAACACAACACTAAACATAAAAATCTGAATGCACTAAAATATGAAGCAAACATTGGCCTCCACCAAAGTGAACTTCCCTTTAACCAGAAGCCAAACAACTAGAAAGTACTTTCTTGGTTTCCTTTATCTTTGATTCAGTTCAGAGACATCTCAACTGCCTCTCACAGGAAGGGTCACAACAGTAGATTCTTTATAATAATCAAAGCCAATAATGACCCTTGGGTCTACAAGACACCAAGCTACCATCTGAATTAAAGATTAAATTCACTAGCATGGGCAACTTAGTGAGACCCCCATCTCTAGAAAACATTTAAAAATCAGCTGGGCATAGTGGCATGCACCTGTAGGAGGATCACTTGAGCCCAGGAGTTAGAGGTTACAGTAGCACTCCAGCCTGGGCAAAAGAGCAAGATCCTGTTTCTAAAAAAAAAAAAAAAGACCAGGACATTCCTAGTGGTGTTTTCTTTTGTTTTGTAAAACTGTACTCTAATCCTCTGAGAAATAGTACCCAAGCTATGGTAACTCCTAGCTACTCAGGACATTTCCTACAGGTCTAGAGAGTACAGACTTGCTACTTCCATGCACACCTGAAACCTTCTTGCCCCTCCCACAGTTACTCTTCTGATATGCATCTCTTGATTGGAAAAAAGAAATTTCTAAGAAACCTCTCCTGGTCAAAATATGGATGAATGAAATTAACCTTGTATTTTGTTTAATTTTAGAAGTCCTATCTGCATGCTTACAGCTTAACATGAGGCATTTCTAACTAGGAAACATCAACACTATTAAGTGAGGAAAAATCATAAAGATGGTTGCATGAATGTCTCATAGAAAAACTGGAACCCAGTGTTACACAGAATAGCTTGGATCAAAAAGAAGCAATAATAATAACTAAATGAAAAGAAATAAACATCAAGAAAAAAATGAATCATGTTTAAGATAACCTAAATTAAATACAATTTCCCCCAAATTTTAGAAAGCATTCTCTTAATTGTGAACCTTTTCAAGCTTTAGATTTGGGCCACTAAGGAAATTCAAGGATTACAAGCAACTGAGTATCACTTAAAAAAGGGTTAAATAAAGCAGTTAACAATCTAATTTATTTGAAGTCATGGCAAGTATGTACCAAAAGGTCAACTGTGTTTTTATGCAGCAAGCACATACTACTTGCTCTATCAATTTTGAAAATAAATAAAAACTAGATCAATTAATTTACTGGTAAATTCCCTATTTCGTTCAAGAACCTGAAACTATTTTACAAAAACTGAAAATTCTTTCCGTGTAAAGATTTCTATGTCTGAACAATTTATCATCTAAGATACACCTGGTCATATCCTTCAATTTCTTAGATAGCCTTAAAGAACATGAGTTTAACCCAGCTAATAAATTCAAGCACCATAAGTTAATAAAAAAAAGAACAGTTGATTATCAAGAAAATTATAACACACATATAGTGTTGTAAACAATACCTTGGTCGGTGCCGAGTAAATCTGTAGAGGTATTGAAAAAATGGCACCTATGTTTGTAGTCAAAAATACATTGGTGAATAGATTTATGGCAATGTCTTTAACAGCAAGTTTCAAAGAAAATATATTCCAACAGCCTGGAGGTAGAAATAAAGGGCCAGTGAAATTCAGAATCTAAAAAGAAAAGAAGCAAGAAAAATTACTTTTCCTAACACTAATTATGATTAAAATCATTATAAAGTATGACACTAAAGTTCTTATATACTTCAGAAAATACAATTTTGCTCAATTATTTCTCCCAGATCAAAGATTGAAATATTTTTATAGAAATTGTAGATTTTAAATAATGCCTAATATGCCACTTTTAAATATCACAAAAGTAATCCTAAAGTATCCGTAAGTGGTTATTTTGCAAAAATCTACTATTTTATCATGAACCAGGCTTAGTTTTACTAAACATAATCTTTTAGTACAAATCAAATATTATATTTTTGATTAATGGTGAGAGCATATATTTTCAAAGAATATATCCTGGTCCTTTTGAGTTCCTTGAAAAATAATTTTAAAAAGAGAAAGAGAGAGCTCCTAAAAGTAATTCTAAAAATGTTAGAAGAAGAATACTTGCTTTAAAAATCATAACTTAAATTTCATAAATAGTAATTTCGTAGCATTTTACCTTAAGGCTTAAAACTTAAGGCTAAAACTTAGGGGGAAAAATACTGTATGTACCTTTAAAATGTGCTTGGTCTCCTTGGAAACAAACACATCATTTAATACAACACCACGGTCAAAACGGTTGTGGTACCATATTGACCAAACTCCTGATGTGTTTTCGTGAGTCTCTATGTGAAACTGGGTTGCAGAAGAGTCCATTTTAAAATACCTGCGAAGAGAGGACATGCATGCCATCAGCCCTGCACGTAGGACAGCCGTCAGCACTCTAATGAACTCCTGACCGCAAAAAGAGGAGCGTGATGAAATGTTACTGAACCAATGCTAGCACTGGCAATGACCTAAGTGGTCACCTCCTTCAACCTTCTGGCTCATGCGTGGGGCAGTGACTGGGCCACAACCAGTACAGCTCATGAAGGCCACCAGGGCAAAACCAAGACCCCAAAGCAACTCAGAAACACTATGCAAATATGTATCCTTTTCACACACCTGGGCCCTAACTCGGAACCTATTTCATGAACTGCATAATTTAGCTTCCTCTTCCCCATTCTGCCAACAGCCCTTCCACTGCCTGTCAGCAGCACTAAGGCAAGGGAGGGCAAGTCCAGAGAGAGAGGGAATCCTACAAGGTCATGTCAGTTATGTCATCAAAGCATTTCTTGAGAGCAGGGAAAAAACACGATTTACAGGAAAGTGGAATTAACCTACCCTTGAACCACAGCAGAGGAGAGGCATGCTTTTAGTGTTGGAATGTGTTTTGTTTTCTTCACATCTTCCATAATTCCACTGTCACATGCTGTAGCTGCTTTGTGATATAAAGAAATAAATGTGAAGTACAAGATCTCCTCTTTCATTAGGCCTTAACAAAAATAAGATTTATGACTTATTTGTAAATTTTTAATTCACTCTTCTGTGTTCATGAAAATAGTGAATCAGACATAAATGGTCACATACTTTCTCAAATGCTCCTATTTGCCCTTCTTTCTTGGCTTGTTGCCAATGAACTGGAACTCTGTGTTTTCTCCTCCCCCAACATATACACTTTCTAAAACCAACCTCTCATTTATTTTTTTTGGGGGGTGGGGGGAAGAGTCAAGGCTTTGTGGCTTTTCCTTTACAAAGATCTGTATTCACCACAAATAAGAGGGAAGTCCTTAGGTCTGCCAGAGGTGACAGTGAGAAATGAAGCTCAACTGGGTAAGACAGAGGGGCGTGTGGAGCCCGGAGCAAGAAAGAAATCAAACCAAACAGTGAAGAGGAGCTACCAGCAAAAAGTGGGACTGCATTTCAAAACACTGCTCATGTATCAAAACAATACTTGTAAGCCTTCCTTGATTTAGGTCATAATAGTAAATCACTGGTATTGAATTCTTAACTCTGATGCTAATATCCAAATCTTTTTTTTTTAAAGCTAGACATATAATTCAAAAAAACAATCCAAACACTCACAAAAAATATGAAAATAAAGCTTTTCACTCTGACTCCCAATTATCTTAGAGGAAACAACTGTTAGCAGTTTCTTGAGCAGCCTTCCAGGTGTTCTGTGCACAAACAAGTTCACAGACACCCTTTAAAAAAAAAAAAAAACTAAATGTACACATACTGTTTGCATGTCCATGTATTCTTGTGTTTTTTTAAAGATAGGGGCTCGGTCGTCACCCAGGCTGAAGTGCAGTGGTGAGATCATAGCTTACTGTAACCTCAAACTCCTGGGCTTAAGCGATCCTCCTGCCTCAGCCTCCCACGTAGCTAAGACTACAGCTGTGCACCACGCTAATTTTTTATTATTATTATTTTTTAGTAGAAACAGGGTCTCAGTATGTTGCCCAGGCTGGTCTTGAACTCCTGGTCTCAGGGGATCCTCCCACCTCAGCCTCTCAAAGTTCTGGGATTACAGGTGTGAGCTACCATGCCTGGCCATGTATGCTTTTGAATAGCTGCAGAGCTATCCCTCAGTAGATGGACTACAATGTAACCAGTCACCTATCAATGGGTGTTCAGGCTGCTCCATCATCACAAACATACATTTCTATAGATACAGTTTTGAATACATATATGAGTATATCTAGCCCTAAAACTAGAATTAAAGACCAAAGACCATATACGTATATTTTAAATTTTCATAGAGATTGCCAATTTTCCCTCCAAAATAGCCTGCACCAATGTATATGCCTATCAAAAACATAAGAGTGTTTTCTTTCCTGCTCATTACCAATACAGAATATTAACAACCTTTTTTATCTTTACTGATCTAGGTAATAAATTATACCTCATTTGTTGCTTTAACTTGTATTTCTTTAAATATGTATAAAGCTGGGCATGTTTTCCTATGTTTAAAATCCATCTGAATTTCTTTATAGCCCTCTTTTTGATCATAAGTAAGAACCTGAAGTTAGGGTGGGGATGACACGCACTAGACGTTCTGCGTCACATTCTACACATGGAAATAACACGGGGCAGTCCAGCAACGCTGGCGCCGGGGCAGGGGTGCCTGCCTCTAACTCATGGCACCTGGTCTTCCAAATCACCAAGTCAAGCTTTTGACTCAAAATCCTACCTATGTGGCAAAATAAAAGTGGCATCAACAATAGTTTTTTTGTTTGTTTGTTTGTTTTTGAGACAGAGTCTCACTTTGTTGCCCAGGCTAGAGTGAGTGCCATGGCATCAGCCTAGCTCACAGCAACCTCAAACTCCTGGGCTCAAGCAATCCTCCTGCCTCAGCCTCCCAAGTAGCTGGGACTACAGGCATGTGCCACCATGCCCAGCTAATTTTTTCTATATATGTATTAGTTGGCCAATTAATTTCTTTCTATTTATAGTAGACGGGGTCTCGCTCTTGCTCAGGCTGGTTTCGAACTCCCGACCTCGAGCAATCCGCCCGCCTCGGCCTCCCAGAGTGCTAGGATTACAGGCGTGAGCCACCGCGCCCGGCCTAACAATAGTTTTTATATCATACTATCTATCTCTTAGAACTATTAAGGCTGTGGTTTGTTGAAACCAAACCCATTCCACTTTTTTAAAACCATGCCTCATCTGTACTTGTCAGTAATTTCGCAGAACAAACTGCCATCATAATAACTAGATAACAAGAGTAAAAAAAAAAAAAAAAGAATCTCCAATATTGTTTAAGTGCTGTACCTTTGCAAGTAAAAGAAGCGATTTTTGTAAAGTTGGTTGTAGAAGTAGGGAGGAGCACTGGTTCAAACTGCAGAGACACAGCATCTCTCTGTGAGAAATTATGTACGTCCTGCAACAACAAAAAATATCCCACATTACGACTCTCAGCTGGGAGAATGTTTATCCAGTTTGACTCTACTGCTAAAATAAGGGAACACACACAGACCAGCTTACACAGCAACTGCTCAGCATCTGTGTGTAACGGTAGGAAGGGGGCTGCTGACAACACTCATGCAAATAGGGGTTCCGGTATGGAAAATGGGTTTAAATGAAAGCAAGAGAGTATGGTGCTTCTGTACTTGTTCCTGAAAAAATCCTCACATTCTACTACTGAATGCACACATATAATTTTAAATTTCATTCTATAGAACCATCAACAATTACCTGTATCCACACGAGGCTGCTTCCCGAATGTAGTATGTACATATTGACCGTTGAATCGTCTATGCAAAAGAATCAGAGCAATGAGACTAAAACAAGGAGTCATCTCACTCCCATACCTTATTCTAGTAATTAAAATATCACACCATACATTTCTGTAAAAAATGGTTATTAGTTTCTCAACACTGAAATCGAAACTAGAAGCTGTTTTCTTTTCAGTACTCTTGTAAGTCACAAGAAAAAAGGACCTTACAGAAAGAGTGACCCACCAACCTCAGCTCTCTAAATGATGAAGAAACACTAGGGAGGAAATTCTGAGTTTAGGATAGCTCTATATTTCTTCTGGGTGCAACTAACCACTGAGCTTCAAATAAAGTTATGTGGTCCTGTTGATTAGACAGTCCCTTGTTTCCTCATTTAGACAACAACATTTGGAAAGAATAAAGCCTAGAAGATCTCAAAATGCAGGCTTCCTTTTAGCCCTCACTGACAGAAATGTCCCCATGGCTCAGGGCTCTGCCCCACACGGATGTTCACCTGCCCATTGTGACAAACACCAAAACAGGAGAGCTCTCCCGCTGATCCATCACTACTACTACAGCCAATTCTGAGGACTGGAAGGTAAATCATGTTTGACCAACAATTAAGACTGCCAAGGCGGGGGCGCGGTGGCTCACGCCTGTAATCCTAGCACTCTGGGAGGCCGAGGCGGGCGGATTGCTCAAGGTCAGGAGTTCAAAACCAGCCTAAGCGAGACACCATCTCTACTATAAAAAAAAAATAGAAAGAAATTAATTGGCCAACTAATATATATGTAGAAAAAATTAGCCGGGCATGGTGGCATATGCCTGTAGTCCCAGCTACTCAGGAGGCTGAGGCAGGAGGATTGCTTGAGCCCAGGAGATTGAGGTTGCTGTGAGCTAGGCTGATGCCATGGCACTCACTCTAGCCTGGGCAACAAAGCGAGACTCTGTCTCAAAAAAAAAAAAAAAGACTGCCAATAGGCTGGGCGTGGTGGCTCACGCCTGTAATCCTAGCTTTCCAGGAGGCTGAGGCAAGATCGCTTGACGTCAGGAGTTTGTGATCAGCCTCAGCAATAGTGAGACTCTGTCTCTACTAAAAATAGAAAGAAATTATCTGGGGAACTAAAAATGAAAAAAGACAAAATAAATTAACCAGGTGTGGTGGTGCACGCCTGTAGTCCCAGCTACTCAGGAGGCTGAGGCAGGAAGATTGCTTGAGCCCAGGAGTTTGAGGTTGCTGTGAGCTAGGCTGATGCCGTGACACTTTAGCCCAGGCAACAGAGCCAGACTCTGTCTCAAAAAGGAAAAAAAAAAAAGACTGCCAATTAAAAAACTTACCATTTATATTATTTCTTTGACTACAAATATACATATAGACTCATATACACAAGGGTCTTAATAACCAAAAGATAATTATAAATCCTACATTATGAAATTCATAGGTCATATAACGTCATCTCCTGCAAAAGTTCTCAGAAAGGTAAACTAATGAACTAGGTTATTTCTGATAAGTAGGACACACATTTCTAAAGATAAAATTCATAAAATTGAACACTAAAATTCTACTCTAACTTCTCAGGCATCCAGGAACAACCAGCATCATGTCAACTATTAAAAATATAAAACAGTATGACAGTATGATTTCATCAACTAAGCAGAAATCAGTAAAACTGGAACAAGAAGCCCAACACTTCAAATACTTTGTGAATATTTGTATCAGACTGTCCTGTCCACTTAATTTATTATCTCCAAAAACGCTAAAAAAAAAAAAAAAATCATTCCCAAGGAAACTCAGAATAGTTTGCAGTTGTCACTCAACTTCTCCCCAAAATAAAACAGCTTTCAGAGCAGTTGCAGATTGAGAACCAGTTACTATCACAGTTTTTTAATAATTAAAGCAAAGACTCTTCATCTTGGTTTGCTATGATACAATCTACAAGTAAATGCTATAGAATGATGACACGGGTTAATCAAAATATATTATAATAAAAATTTAAAAGATTCCACCTTACCTGAGGTCTCGGATTTATCTGTAGCTACATAAACAATAGAGAGATGATCTAACAAATCTTGTGTGTTTTCTTCAAATTCTGTTGAGGAGTTTTCCATTGTTACCATTATGCTCATTTGTAGGCGCAAAACATCATCAGATTCCAGGTAACAACTCTGAGATGGAGAGGAGGGGAAAAAGAGGAAAAACTCAAAAAATAATCTGAACTTTGTGATTTCAAATTTCAAAAGAAAAAAAAGCACTTAACTGAGAACAGAGTGTGCTGTTTTATTTTTAAGCAAAGAGGAAGGAAGGCAGGAAGAAAACACTAAATATTTTATTTTACCTTTAATTGCTGACACACTTTATTATGTAAACTACATTCCAGTTGCACCTGCAAGAGGCCAGCATTAGTGGTTTCTGCCTAAAAGAAGAAAAAAAGAGGAAAAAGACCTTAAAAGGAGGTAAAAGGCTCAATCTAGCATTAATAGTAAACAATTTATCATTTCTTCAAAAACCATACTCATTCATTTATTCAACAAATATTTGAGTTCTCTGCTCAGAGCTGGGCATTACTCTATATAACAGTGAGCAACACAGAGAGGTCTGGGCTGCCACTGAGCTTACGTTCTAATGAAAACATAAGCAATATAAAAATTCCTGTTAAGGTAATAAGCAGGTAAATATGTTCTAAATATACCCAGGAACATTGTAGTTTGGCATTTCTAATGCTTGTTGAACATTTTTGTTTAAACGTAGGAGTCTACTTTTTATTTTGCAGTAGGTTACTCAGTAATAGCCAATTAACTGTTTTTATGTGTGCCTTCCAATAGGTACAATGCCCTTAGAAGTCATGATCCTTAAATCAGACAAAACCATTAGGGAATGTCCAAAATTCAACAGGCTTATCATTTTTAATATATGGAAGAGCTATGGGTAGAAGAGACAAAAGTATATGAAAAGAATAGTCAAGTTCAAAGATCTTAAAAGTGACTTGGAATGATATGGACGTATCTTCAAGAAAAGGAAATGAAAAATCCAAACAAGGGATACAGCCACGTGGTGGTAGGGCGTGGGCTACAGGCTTGTGAATACGCACAAAACTCAGTCAGCGCAACATGTGACTCTAAAAGAACTGGGCTATGAGAGTTCCTCTTTTGTTAGGTTTGATGTCCCTGGCTTAGTGTCTATAAAAAGGTATTTGGCCTGGGGGAAAGTCAAAGCACTGGGAAATAGCGACGAGATAAGAAGGAATTCCCCAAATCCTAACCTAACTGAACTGTGGGTAAGCATTTATTTTTAATCCCAAGAAGATGCATTACTAAGTAGAATCACCTCAATTATCTTGAATTTGTTAAGACTTATAAGACTTACCCAAGTACATTAAATAAAAATACATTTTTAACTACTTCAATTATCATTCATGCAATTAAAGAAGCAGAGAAAAAAAAAAGAATAAATTACATTTAAAGTGCAATAAAAATATTTAAGGAGTTTAACTCAGTTTGTAAATGGGACCAAACATCAATGAAAGGCTCTTTTAAAAAATTATCACAGCCTGAGCAAGAGTGAGACCCCATCTCTACTAAAAATAAAACAATTAGCTAGGTGTGGTGGCATGTGCCTATAGTCCTGGTTACTTGGGAGGCTGAGGCAGGAGGATCACCTGAGCCAAGGGGGTTGAAGCTGCAGTGAGCTATGGTCATACCACTGCATTCCAGACCGGGGCACAGGGTGATATTCTGTCTTTTAAAAAAAAAAAATTGTTGCTAGTATCTGCCAATATTCTTAAATAGAATAATATGCTTTATAAACTGAACCTAAAAGGAGAAGAGCTAGATTTTGAAATTTGTCTTCCTATGAACAAATCCCATCGTCAAAGACAAACAAAAAAAACCCCTTACTTTTTTACAAATGATCTTCGTATGGCCAAATCCAACGGAAACTTCTTATTTTGCTCACCCCTTCTACCCTCCTTAACACTATTAACCGTTTGTCCTTCCCTTGGTCTTTCTTTCTCTCTGGCTCTTCCTCCTCTAGCCATCAGACTTTCGGGTTACCCTGGATGCTCTCTGTGCCTTCTTCTCTCTCCCAGACCAGAGCTCTTTGACATGTTGAAGCCTCTCACATAGACTACTCTAGATCACAAAGACTTCTCCTTGCATACCCATATGTCCGATCACCAATTGGGCAGCCCCCTGAATCCTCACACAGCCCAAGCGAGCTGCCTTCCGTGCCTCACCTTAGCACCATTACTCCTCAGCTGCACCATCATTCACACAGTTTAAGCCAGAAACCTGAAAACCAACTTGACTTCACCTTCTCAAACCCATAACCAAGCTACACTGATTGGGCCTCCCCAGTACCCCTTAAACCCTCCCACTTCTCCTCTTTCTTCATACCCTAGAGGATCAGGGGCTGGCAAGCTATGCCCACAGGCTAAATAAATCCAGTCCGCTGCCCATTTCTGTAAACAAAGTTCTACTGGAACACAGCCATGCCCGTTCCTTTACGCACTGTGCTTGCATGTGCTACAACGGCAGAGTTGAGTACATGTGACACAGTCAGTATGGCCTGCAAAGTCACAATGAGCACTCCAATGACGCTACCTACAGAAAAAGCTTATGGTGCAGTAACTTCCTCCTGGTCTCCCTGCACCCACCTATGCCCTTTCCACTCCATTCCCCACACTGCATGAGACTTTACTAACAGGCATATCTGGTTATACCAGTATTTGCTTAAAATTCTTCAAAGACATCCCGCTTGGCAAAAGTCCCAAATCCTTGACTTTAGCTACAAAACACGGCCACCTACCTAGCCTCTACCTCCTTGGTTATGGTTTAGCCTCGCTGGTCTACTTTCTGTTGTTTTGCCTTACCTTTGAATCTGCTGTTCTTTGCCTTGAACCCACTTCCCCAACACACCCACCCCTCCACCTAAATCTGACTTATCCTTCATGTCCAGGCTTAAATATACCTCCTCTCAGAGACCACAGTCGAGGGTAATTGCCCATTCATTAAACACACCCACAGCACCTTCCACCTGACCTTTGTAACACTTCTCAGCTTGATCTAGGTCTATCTTCCCCAGTAGATTCTAAGCACCTGGTTTGGTATTTTTACCACAATGCCTATCACTTAATGTGTATTCAATATACAGCTGATGAATGACTAGAGGTGGGCACACAGCCACTGATGTTATGAAATACAGCAAGCTTGAAGAGGGAAAGAAGCTAAAAACAGTAAACGATGCCTATCAAATAAAAGAATATATCAAAACCTGACATTAAGTATATACTTCCGATCCGAAACTTCCAAAAAATATTTAAAGAAACACCGTACTAACATATTCTCAAAGTACACATTTATAACTAATTAAAAAAAAATCTGCAACAATTTAAGTATGTTAAGGTGTTTATCTGACAAGGCAATTCTCTACCCAACCACTAACTACTTTGTTTCATTTGCTGTGGGACATATTTCAGAATCCCACAAGGGGGAGTTCTAGCACCTCCAAAATGCCCTTAAAGTATGCTGATTTTTCTAAAAAAAAATTTAAAAGTTCATGTCTGTCTTTCTCAAAGAACAAAACAATTGAAAACTTAACTTAAAAAGAGAAAGTATAACCAAAACCTGAGCCAGTCTGGGCAACCAATGGGGTATAACCCCAACACAATGGGGTACAAGTTCCCCTGAAAGTGCCCCAACTGAGCACATTATATGGCAGCAGGACATCCCCTAATCCAGAGTGTGCCTGGGCAATTTATAAAAGAAAAACAAAACCTAATTCTCTATTTTTGAAACCTCCCACATTACTTTAACAAATTAATTCATAAATTTTATGCCTAAAAGAAAAAATAACTCCATAAATAAACATTTCCTTAGTAGTCTTCGTATAAAGTATATGGTATTGTCCTCTTTTAGAAGATGGTAGGAGGAAAATGTGGGTTGGAGAGGTTTAAATAATTTATCAAAGGTCTTGGGGCCACTTAGTAGAAAAACAAAAAAAAATAACAGGTCTTTTAATGCAAATTAGTACTTTTTCCAAGTAAATCAGAATAGACCAAATTTAGGTAACTAAAGGCCTAAAAATTCATCAACACAGAGACATGTACTAGAAAACCATACCAAAATATAATGTAATAGTCAAGAAAATAGAAATGCCAAAGCTCTTTGTTATGACATGTATTCCCACAGCTCTGTGATAAAAAAGTATGAGTTTAGGAAATTGGATACTAGAGAAAAAGTAATCATCTCTCTTCGCCTGCTAAGGAACTGCTAGTGTGCTAACCAGAGAATGTGATTTGGGGGGATTGTATAAAATTAAAAATTAGAAAAAGACACATTTAAAAGTACTAAGTCATTTTACATGACTTTTATTAACAGTAAACCATATCCTAACAAAAGTATATATGAATCTATAATACATTAATCCAGAGTGAACAAGACACTTGAACTGATAACATTCCTAGTAATAACCACATATGAAAAAGCCTTTTAAGAAATATAACTTGTGAAGTGTAAAAGAACTACTTAGATTCCAATCTTAGATTCTATTTTTCTCAACATCTTTCTCCCCTTTCATAGCGTTCATTTTGAACGCTGAATTTTAGAAGTCCTTATAAAAGTAAATCTCCTATGCCAACACGTATACCAACAGGAACACAGATTCTGTATAAGCCATGTGGCCATTCCAGCCAGTGGCCCATGCATACGGTGCTGTGTACGAGGGTGTCTACACAGCAAATGATCTTGTAAACAACAAGACCTATCCTGGGTCCCTTCCACACAACACTCACGCTGACTCTATAACCACACTCCTTAGTGTCTACTGCGTAACAGCCAGCCTTGGCTGAATTATTAATAAGCACTCTACATTTGTTCTACCCTGACATTAAACAGCAATTCTGCTTCCATCCCCACCATTACCACTTAGATACAAACCACATAAGCAAAATTCGTTTATGTTGCCAGACCTACTCATAAAAATATTTGCAAAAACCTAGGAACTTGGCTGAAATTAGTTTTTTTGCTTTTTTTTTTTAAAGGAAAAAGAGGTTAATGCATTTGCATAACATTTTTCCTTATCCACATTTTTAAAAAGGCAGTGTGGCCAAGTGGCTTTGCAGTTAACACAGATACAAGATCAAAACCCAACCGTACAACCCTGTGGGGTAGAGCCATTCCCTACCCACTCTAAGACTCAGCTTCAACTTCTAGAAAATGGAGTTACTGAATTCACAGCAATATTATGAGTGATGAATGAGATACATATACACAACACCAGGCACAGAGTAGGCCCTCAAAGGAAAGAATTATTATTATTATTATTTTTTGAGACAGTCTCACTTTGTTGCCAGGCTAGAATGAGTGCCATGGCATCAGCCTAACTCACAGCAACCTCAAACTCCTGGGCTCAAGTGAT